CCACCGAAAGATTTACATCATCCAACCTCTCCCAGAGAGCAAAGCAGCTGCTAAATATGGTGGATAGAGACAGAATCTGGGAGTCAGGAAGAGTGGAAGAAATCTGAGGCCAGAAATTCATTGTTTGGTGGTGATCGCTCTTGGATTTTGTTCTCATCCATCAAAAGGCGCTGCCAGTGGTTCTCAGCCTGAGCTTGTTGGAGTCCTAAATTTTAGTGCCTTAAGATAAAGAGAGAATGAGGAGAGGAAAGAGGAGGAGGAGACAACCCCAACCTTCAAATAAAGCATTTGGCCTGTATTGTTTTGCCTGTTAGGTTTTGTTGCTGCTGTTGTCTGTGTGCTTGTCTGTGGGGTGGTTCTGGTACTGCCACTGGGGTGGGCGGAGTTTGAACTCAGGGTCCAACCTTCTGCAGCTCACTTATTAGGTGTATCAAAAGTCAGATGATCTCTAATTCCATCACAATGTTTAAGTCCTGTGGTTCTTTGTCCCGATGCTTTCTGCTCCAGCCCTGAATATGGGAATGATTTAGGAAATGCTGTTTTGGTCTGGGGCCAATAATTGCATCTCCTATCCCTTAGACTAGTAGTTCCCTCCAAATAAGGGTGGTTGTGAGCTCCAAAGGACATTTGGAAAAGTCTGGACCAATTTTGATTGTTTCTAGCATGGAGGAAAAAGTTTCTGGCATCTAGTGTGCACAGGCCAAGGAAATGACCAACCAACCCCCTCCTAAAGCCCAGGACAGTCCCCCACAAACAACAACTGTTATCCAAACGAATGCTGACACCACAGAAGACTGCAGACTGCAGGAAACACGATCACGGGTGAACACACGGGTTGAGAAGGTTCCCCTCATCTCCAGAGCAGCATTGGGGGCTCAGCATCATTCCAGCTCCTCCCCGCCAAGAGCTGCCTGGAGCCTTGGAGCTGAGACCCTGGGACAGCTGCCGGCAGCACGCTCCCATTCTCCACCAGGGACGAACCCTCTATACACCCTCAGCCCGAGGCCACCCGGGGGCTGTGCACTGACTACATATCCGCCTCACCCGGAGCTGGCGATAACACCAATATTGAACTTCTTCTTTACTCGTTTAGCAACTCCTTATTGATGACTTATTAGAACTAGGAACAATGCACTGGGGATATAGCAAAGAAAAAAGTCTTGCCTTTTGTTTTGGCAGTTGTGGGGCTTGAACTCTGGGCCTGGGCGCTGTCCCTCAGCTCTTCAGCTCAAGGCTAGCACTCTACCACTTGAGCCACAGCACCGCTTCTGGCTTTTTTCTGCTTGTGTGGTGCTGAGGAATCAAACCCAGGGCCTCACGCATGCAAGGCAAGCACTCTACCACTAAGCCACCTTCCAAGCCCCAGGTCTTGTCTTTTTATGAAGCATGCTTTTCTGGAAGGAAGCATCAAATAATAGATGACTCAAGTAGTCATAAGTGCCACTCTCCCAGCTCCTAGTCAGCAGCCTCAGACAATCACATTTTATTCTGAGAAAAATGGAAAATTACTGCAGAATGGGAGACAGTGTGCCATATACTAATATTCATTTCAAAAGTTAAAAAAAAATTTAAAAAGACATATGAAGACCAGGCAGTTCTCCTGACATTCCACCATTGTCAATGGAAGTCAGGGCTCAGTGCTCACAGTCTGCATTTCCTGCATTTAAGGAACAGAAAATAAGCAGGCCTTTCTTTGATCATAAAGGCTGGCTCGCTCTTCTCCACCAGGGATTGCTATAGTTGAATTTGCAGTCCGATCAGGCAGGCTGGAGCAGGGGGCTTGAGAATAGCTTGTAAATGGAGAAGTTCTCAAGTTTAAGGAAACAAGTTAGTGCAAATTCATCTCATTGAATGGAAGGAATTTCCGGCCATGTACCACTTTTAGAAGAGAAAGAAACTGGGGTGAAATGAAATCAAAACTTTCCTCATTCCACAAAGTTAAGTCTGACTAATACTGGAAGCCCAAGACAGGAAGAAAGTCTAGCTATCATCTATAACTTATTCATAAACTGCCTCCCTTTCTCAGGCAACTTTTTTTTGTGTCAGTTGTAGGGCTTGAACTTGAGGACTGAGAGCTGTCTCCTGCGCAGGGCTAGTGCTCTACTACTTTGAGCCACTTCCAGTTTTCTGGTGGTTCATTGGAGAGAATACTGTCACAGACTTTCCTGCCTTGGCTGGCTTTGAACCACAATCCTCAGAACCTCCTTTCCTCTTGAGAAGAGTTTGGTGGAATGATTCTGTAGCTGTTTTTACAAACAACAGCAATAAAGCTATATTAAGATGTCACCTGCAGAGACCTGTGCCTTTGTAAACAATGGCATGGTGCTTTCGTAGCAGCCTTTAGAATGAGTTAACACTTCTTACACATCCCTGCCCACCCCTGCCCACTGGATTTGACTGGCCCTAACATAATTTTGGCACTCATAGCAGTGCAGACGTTTCATGCAACTGGTCTACCAGCCTGTCTCCAGTGCCCGTCCCCAAACATACTTTACTCAGAATGTAGCAGCAATCATAACCAATAGCTACCATGGCAACTGGCCGGGCCATTACTACCCCAGGTTGCAGGATGTGGGGGTGGGAGTGGGGGGCTAAGATTTATTATTAATTCATCTTAATAATGAAGGAATTACCATGGAAAGTGAAAGGCTTTTGTTGTTGCTGTTTGTTGTTGTTCTGGTACTGGGGCTTGAACTCAGTTCCTTGCTCTCTAGCTTGGCTTTTTCTGCTCAGAGCTGGCGCTCTACCACTTGAGCCACATCTCTCCTTCTCTTTTTGGGTTGTTTTTTTTTTTTTTGGTGGTCACAGAATTTCTCACCGCAGGCCAGATTTAAAGATGGTATGCAGCTGTAGGATGACAAGGACGGTAGCCAAGTGAGTCATTTAGTGGACAGCTGAGCGTCACACGTGTGCACATCTAGTTTTACAAAGACAGAAAGAACACGTTTTATGGCCCACTGCTCTCTGGTGGGTCTTTGAGCTCTGGCTGGCCCTTCTGTACCACTTCACCATCTTGCTGGATACTAACCTTTGAATAGTAAGGGCTGGTCCTGCGGCTTGTTGGGAGTAGTAAAGAATGACAGTAAAGCCATGTCACCTCCAAAGCCAGTCTTAAGGGACCAGTGGCTTCTGGCTGCACATGATTGGAACTCTTCTTCTGGACATGCAGCCACTGTGGTGTAAAAGGCCCAAGAAAAGAATCAAATGGCTTCTCACATTCATCAACAGACCCAGACCCAGCCAGTAGCCGACACCAACTGGCCTCCTTGTGGGGGAGTCTTGGGGACATTCCAGCCCATTCACAACTCAAAAGCAAAGCATCCCAGCTCCACCCCGGCAAGCCCAGTGTCATGACAGATAATGGCCAACGGTGCTAAGTGGTTTTCTTAAACCATTTCATTCTGGCATAACCTGGTCTATCTCAACAGAGGCATTCTGTTTACACAGAACAATTCTGTCTTGGATAGGAAGATCCTGAAGAGGTTTTATACGTTGTATTCCAGGCTCTGCCACCATATGACCATATGAGAACACCATTCTTATAGAAATATTCCTTTATAAGGGCTGAGTATATGGAATGGATGTTTGTGTCCCCTGTTAGAGTTCCTAGAACATGTTCATTACCTAGGTCTTTGTGTATCTGGTGACAGAAGCTGGAAATCAGCCTGCCTCACCCAGAATGGAGTAGGAAACAGCCTCACCGTTGACACTGATACCCAATGAGCTAAAGTCAGGAAAACAGCAGGCGCTGTCTCCTTCCTGCACATCCAAAGTATTTAGAAGTGCTTTTGATCTTGAATTGGGGTGTCATGTTGGAAAGTTACTGATCTTATTTCTCGGGGAGTTATTAGGAAGGTTAAATGTGAAAATGCTTGCAAAGTTTCTAGCATCCTACCTCTATGAGATAGGTATGAGAAACTGAAGTTCTTTGTTTCCTTATTAACATGGAAAATGACCACCAGAAAGGCAGCTGCTTCCCAAGAGTTCTATTCAAACCCTGGGGTAATCTGTGCTGTCTGTGGAGTCATTGCTAAATCTGAGTCCTCTTCACAAAGTGATCATCTTTATCTCTCACGCTTTCTTCCTGATATGTCTGAGAGGACAAGGAAAGGCTGCTCTTCCCCCTCTGCTGGCAAAGGCATTTTTTAGGCTGACCTTTGGCAAAAGGCAAGACGTCTGCTTACTGTTGGGAAATGCAAGTCCTTCCAGCAAGTGTAAATGGGCAGGGGGGTCCCCAATCCATTGACACCTGACGGGCAGACTTGCTTGGGATGCTCTGGCCAAAAGGCCATGGATGGCCTTGTGCTGCCTGTGGGCCGTCCCCGTGAGCGTTCCCCCAGCGCTTTCCATCTGCCTTTGCTTTGGATCATTTCCACAGTGCATTTGCCATGGAGATCGCTGCTGCGTTTCCAAGAAGCCCGGAGACCCCTGCATTCACCCGAGCCCTTGCCTCGGAGCTCCAGCTCACTTTTGGACTTCATTTTGGAGAAGGAAACTTCTTCAGGGTGCATTAGAGAGGCAAAGTGAGGTCTGCAATTCTTTCTCTTGCAAGGGCGACCTATCCAACACTAACCCCCCCCCCCCCCCAAGAGTTAGAGGAGACAAGGCTGAGACACAGAGGGAGACAGAACTTCTACGTCGTCAGCTTCCTTAAGGCAACAGAGGAAGCGTAGCGGCCACGGAGTCTCGTTAATGAGCGGGTTATAGAATATTTATTGTGTTGAGTTTAACTCTTCAAACAGAACAGCTAATTGCAAAAAGAAAAAGGAGGGGGGGGGGAGAACCACAATTACAGATGTTAGAACAACAAAGCTAGGAGAACTCCTCTGATGATCCAGCTGTCCTGTCGCTGCTTCCTTCTCCAAGTACGCTGACAGGAGGCGCCCAGAGTCCCGGGCCTCACCAGGAAGTCTCATTAGCTCCCCTTTGACGAGATGCTCTGTGGACAGGGCAGCCAGGGGCCTGGGACAGAGGCCTCCTCAGAGAGGGGGGCCATCTTGCTACCCACAGGAGGAGCGATGGAGTTGTATTCCACCTGAACCCGTCTTCCTGACACACCCCCTCTCCCCACTGTTGCTCCTGGCAACAGCATCCACAGCAGGCTCCACGTAGTGGCTGTGCAAGTGGCACAGGCCAGCAGTCAGAGCCAGTCCCACGGCCACAGACAGGCCAAGAGGATTCCTAGCTAGGGAGTTCCAAGCTGGAGCCCCAATGGGGCACCGACTCCCTCCAGACTGAGTCCAGACCCGTGACTGGTCTTGCTAGGATCTCCCATGCTTCCTTCCTTAAGCCCTGCTTTCATGCTGGCCCCCGTGGGCTTTGACTCAGACGAGAAGCACCTTGGTCCCTCTGATAGGCCACCAGCGGTGGCACACTGGAAGCGCCAGAGGTATGGAAGGCAGGGGTCAGCTCAGCCCCTCAGCCCCCTGGCCTGTGGATGCTTCAGAGGACCAGAGATGTGGAGGCTCAGTGAGGTGGACAGGGAAGGGATTAGGCCCCATCAGGGTCCGGTTAGAGCCTGCCATCTTGTCCTAGAAAAACGGAAAGGCCACTGATGGGGCTGATCTTGCCCCAATTTGAACTTGCAACTAACTTGTGTTCCTTCAGACATCCAGGCAGCAGCTCAGAGACTCAACCCCCTCATTTGATCCTACACGGGATTGGAATCAAAGGAGATCTGCATGTGTCGTTGCTAGGGATGGGGTGGCTAAGGGAAACCTCACACAGAGGAACTTAGGTTCCTTTCAGAGGCTTCTAAACCCACAGGGGAGAGGGTGTCACTTCCAATGGCTGAAGGCTTTTGGTAGGACACATGCAGGCAGGGTCTCATCGAAGTGCAGACTCCAAGAAACTTAACTTAGAATGTGCTACACCATGAGTATTTTTTTTTCATTCCTGCTAAGATATCAAAAGAAGAGTAATTCAGTCAGCATGTGTGCTTTATATCCCTCATTGATCTAACCTCAGGGACCGTCTATGGTAAAGGAAGAGTCGAGGTGGGAAGAATTGCGAGCTGAGGGTAAATGAGAACACGAAATCAGTAACACCGTCCATTTTCAACAATTGCCAGTAACTTCTGAGACACTGTATGGAATGGAAAGGCTGGTGTGGATAAGGAAACTTTGGGTATAGCATACCCATGACCTCTCTCTGGCTATTGCTGCACTACTCTGATAGTTCTGTTTTCCAGCCTGGAGCTTCCCACTCTGGGGTCAGCATACTAACTTCAATCCCTATTCATAACTCTAATCCCTACCTGTTCAACCTCCTCTAAAGATAGGCAAGTTTCCAATGGATCTGACTTTGAGTTACCCCAAGTCCTAAAGAGAACAGAAGGGTCAAGAAACATTCACTGCATATTTGGATCAAAAATCAATGTTTCCAAGAGGTGTTTTCTTTGTTGTTCCTTTCTTTTCTTTTTGTTTGTTCATTTATCTGTCTTTGGGATGGTAAGGGGGGTGATGGAAATGCTGGGACATAGGGTGAACAAATGCAGAGGTGGTACTCACTAGGTACTATGTTGAAAATAAACTGTACAACTTGTGGGTAGGGACTGGAGGGAAAAACTGGGAGAGAACAAGGGAAGGGGTGACATTGTCCAAAAAGAAATGTACTCACTACCTGACTTATGTAGTTGTAATCCCTCTGAACATCACCTTCATAATAGCAACAAAAAAGAACCACTGGAAAAAAAACAAAAGCAATGTTTCCTACCACTGTTGTATCTACTGTTGAAATTAGATTTCCCAAGAATAACTTCTGAGTTTGGAGTCAGGGACTAGAGGCTAGTGGAAGTATTGAGAACATTAAACATGCATCTCATTTATAGCAGCACCTCAGAAATCTCACCCCATCGAAGAGAGTACAAGTTTCCCAGGGTGATTATCATACCCAGCTCTTTTGACCAGCAGTCCTACTACCATCAAACATGACTAAGATAACTAAACCAAGCATTCTGGTATCCCCTTCCTCACCTTGTGAGTATGGTCCTTACCCATAGTGGGATCCCAGGCCAGCAGCAAAGTCCTCTGAGGAGACTCTCCTGAGGTCACAAGCCTCTCCAGTCTACAGACATCCAGAGATGGTTCTAGAGGTGGGTTGTTGTCTCTGCTAGACAGTTCCCCATTGCTTCTGAAGGAGCTGTGCATAAAAGTGATTGGGAGAGAGTCTCTGCATCCCCAGAGAGCGTTGTCACCTCAGTACTAGCAGGAACAGGGTCTAGGGTACTTCCTTCTGCAGTCCCTGTCAGGACAAAGACATCTATGTAAGGATGCAGTAAAATGATGGCAGAGCACTGAGGGACTAAGCAGAAACCCAAAGACACCACAGAGATGGTGGGAGCATATTCTCTTATTGGCTGGAACAAACTGCATGACAGAGTCGAGAGTGGAGACCATGGTGTGCCTTAGGGACCATCAGTAAGAATGTGAACCAGCCCCCCAAAAGTGTGAACATGCAGAGGATCTTGCCCAGGAATGCGACCCCCTGATAGAGCTGCAAGAGCCCCATTTCCAACGCATTTTTGAAGAGGAGTCCCTAGCCCTTCTGGACCTGTGTGTTCTAAACAACTGCCACATCGGAAATAGAGAAACGATTGCACCACTGTTGTTGTTTTTTTCACCTCTGCTTCTAGCTAGAGCAGTAGAATCCTACACACCAGCTTTGTCAGTGCCGCGCTCTTTTGCCATAATATTAACACTATAAGTTTCCCTAATGGTAATCATGACATGAACATCTGCTACAGACAGAGACAGGATCGCGGCCTCCCACTGCCCTCTACCATCTGATCCCCGGGATGTCTGGCTGATGCGAAGTCCCAGGGCATGGGAGATCGCTGCACAGGCAGCAAGCAAGCAACAGCACATTTTAAGAGTCAAACGATTGCCTGGGGTCAGTGCTTCCCTCTGCTAATTCCTGGCTTTGGGCAACTCTTCCCGGAGCCTCATTTGCAAAACGGGGCCACTTTCAGACTCGTGGTTCCCTGGCATGGAGCTCCGAAGCACGGAGCTGGGCGCACAAGCCACAGCACTGCCGTGTCCACCGCGATGAAGAGGACGGTGGGGGATGAGGCAGTGTTGCCAGAAGCTGCTCAGCTCACTGTCTATTGCTCCCACGTCTTCCTCACTCGGAGACACAGAGGGGAAGAACGAGGCGGCCTAGGGTGAACGCGCGCAGCAAATCCACCGTCCAGATGCCTGCTCGCGTGGAGCGCGTGCCCGCGTGGAGCGCATGCCCTGTGCAGCGCGTGCCCTGTGCAGCGCATGCCCGCGTGGAGCGCGTGCCCTGTGCAGCGCGTGCCCTGTGCAGCGCATGCCCGCGTGGAGCGCGTGCCCTGTGCAGCGCGTGCCTGCGTGGAGTGCGTGCCCTGTGCAGCGCGTGCCCGCGTGGAGCGCGTGCCCTGTGCAGCGCGTGCCCTGTGCAGCGCGTGCCTGCGTGGAGTGTGTGCCCTGTGCAGCGCGTGCCTGCGTGGAGCGCATGCCCTGTGCAGCGCGTCCCCGTGTGGAGCGCATGCCCTGTGCAGCGCGTGCCCTGTGCAGCGCGTGCCCTGTGCGGCGCGTGCCCTGTGCAGCGCGTGCCCCGTGCAGCGTGTGCCCGCGTGCGGCGCGTGCTCGCGTGGAGCGCGTGCCCTGTGCGGCGTGTGCCCTGTGCAGCGTGTGCCCTGTGCAGCGCGTGCCCTGTGCAGCTCGTGCCCTGTGGAGCGCGTGCCCTGTGCAGCGTGTGCCCACGTGGAGCGCGTGCCTGTGCGGCGTGTGCCCGCGTGGAGCGCGTGCCCTGTGCAGCGTGTGCCCGCGCGCGGCGCGTGCCCTGTGCAGCGTGTGCCCGCGCGCGGCGCGTGCCCTGTGGAGCGCGTGCCCTGTGCGGCGCATGCCCGCGTGGAGCGCGTGCCCTGCGCGGCGCGTGCCCTCTGCGGCGCGTGCCCGCGTGGAGCGCGTGCCCGAGGAGGTGGAGGCGGAGCGATGGCCGCGCAGTCGCGGGGTCCGGGCGGCCGCCCTACCTGGGGTGATGGGGCCGGCCCGCGCCCCGGCTCCACGCGGGAGGCCCCGGTGAGGTCCGCGGAGACCCGACGGAGGACTCAGCCCTCGCCCCGTAGACGAAATAGGACCGGAGGACCGCTGACCGTGGAGACGGCGCGGGACGCCCGACCCGCACGCGGACGCGGGGCCGGGGCGCACTGACCGGCTCCCACTGCACGGGCGCCCGGCCGGGTTCCGTGGAAAAGCGGGACGGAGACCCGAGAAGTCCTCCCCCCATCCTCCCCTGCGTCCTCCCCCATCCTCCCCTGCGTCCTCCCCCCATCCTCCCCTGTCCTCCCCCCGTCCTCCCCGTGCCCCCTGTCCTCCCCGTCCCCTCCATCCTCCCCCCGTCCTCCCCCCATCCTCCCCTGTCTGCCCCCCGTCCTCCTGTCCTCCCCGTCCTTCTTCCGTCCTCCCCGTCCTTCTTCCGTCCTCCTCGTCCTCCCCGTCCTCCCCGTCCTTCTTCCGTCCTCCCCCCGTCCTCCCCCATCCTCCCCTGTCAGCCCCCCCTCCTCCTGTCCTCCCCGTCCTTCTTCCGTCCTCCTCGTCCTCCTCGTCCTCCCCGTCCTCCCCGTCCTCCCCCCGTCCTCCCCGTCCTTCTTCCGTCCTCCCCGTCCTTCTTCCGTCCTCCCCGTCCTCCCCCCGTCCTCCCCGTCCTTCTTCTGTCCTCCCCCGTCCTCCCCGTCCTCCCCATCCCCGTCCTCTCCCCGTCTCCCCCTCCCCCCGTCCTCCTCCCCCTCCCCGCCCCTGACTGCGGAGCGCCGTCCGCGTGTACAGGAACCCACGTCCCCCTCTTCCTTTTCTCCTTCAAGTATCAGTCCCTTTAAGTAAAATTCAGCTGCTATAAAAGGAAAAGATGGATAAAGCTCTCTATTTTAAAATGATTGGAACGTAGACCAAGTCAGAAGACAAACAATTAACTGAGGAAACTACCTGTAACACCTAACACAGCTACACATCACATTAGCTGAACGAGTGACAGTGATCCCGCTGACAACGAAAGGACAAGAAGAAAGACAACACAAGCCCATCAGAATGTGAACGCGATTACAGATGGGACACTACTGTGCGTGTCTCATATTAACAAATATTAAAATGTGTGAGCCGGAAGTGGCGCTGTGGCTCAAGAGGTAGATCGCTGGCCTTGAGCTGCAGAGCACAGGGGCAGAGCACAGGGACAGCGCCCAGGCCCCGATTTCAAGCCCCACAACCGACAAAAATAAGAATAAATGTGTGAGCGCAAGCAGGATGGCTAGAAGTAGAGGCGCACGAAGGTACATGTTCACTAGTACCAGACCTGCGTGCATCTCACTGAGATAACCCGACAGCCTTTTCCATACTTACAATGAAGTTACTTCTGATATATGTGACAGCATCATGGGCCCCTAAAACACAGTAACGGAAATAAGCCAGATACAGAATAACAGGTATTGTTCCTTTCCACCTGTGTGAGATACTTAGACTAATACACTGATGGTGCGGATGAAGCAGAAAGAAAAATTAGAGGTTAGCAGGAGCTGGGTTTTACCTTTTCATATTTTCTGATGCTAATGATTGAAGCCAGGACCCGAGAGCTGGTGGCTCACGCCACAACTCAGGAGGCTGAGATCTGAGGATCATGGTTCAAAGTCAGCCCAGGCAGGAAAGTCCATAAGACTCTTATCTCCAATTAACCACCAGAAAATTAGAAGTGGAGCTGTGGCTCAAGGTGATAGAGCACTAGCCTTGAGTGAAAGAGCTCAGGGACAGAGCCCAGGCCCCGAGTTCAAGTCCCACAACCAAGAGCGACAATGAAAGATTGAAGCCAGGGCTGCTTCATGCTGAGTATGCACTCTACCACTGAGCTGTATGCTAGCCCTGTACTACAGCTTGTCATTGTATGTAATTAAGGCATATAGCATGAAGTTACATGGTGGACACCGTCACATGGTTACTATGGTCAAACAAATTAACAGAGCCATCATTCTACCAAGCACTTGTTGATGGTTAAATGTTAGTTTTAAATAACAAGAGAAAAAGTACAACTTTTATACACATGTGACATAGGAGGGTTATTTAGGGTAACCAGATATATATTTACAAGAAGATAAATTTGTATCTTACGATGAGGACAAAACAATGTTTGCTAATAACACCACAGACAATAGATAATGTGTGGTTTTCATGACACAAACATTCCATCTCGTTTTTGGCTAACTAATTGCCTCCCAGGATGAAGCCAAACTCCAGTGCTGCCTGGCACAAACACAGCTTAAGACTGCATGAGGTCCTTCAGGCTGCTCTTCCATCTCTCAGATCCCTTCCCCGACCAACCTGGAATCTGGTCCCCGCGCCTAGGAAGCCCTGCTGGTGTAGATGGTGGCCTGGTGGGCGTTGGCCCGCTGGGGCTGGGCTTGGATGTGCCTGGCCTCCTGTCCTCACAGGCCACCGTGCTGGCCCCGTGGGAAAAGGCCGAGGAACAGAGCAGCCCCGACCCTCATCCGCCCTCTCCTGCAAAGGGACAGAACAGAGCTGCAATCCGCTAACTATGGAAGCACATTCTCCAGTGACATCCCTAAGTGATACTTTCCATGCCAACTCCCCAAGATCAAGATCAAAGAGATGCCCGCTGCCAGGCGAGAGCAAGTATTTCACTACTAAGCACTTTTTATCATTTTCTCCTAAGATGACACTGCCTATTTTTTTTATTGTTTTTCTTATTTACATTATTTATTTTTTGTTATTTCTTTAAAAAATGTATTTTCTTGTAAAGACGCTGTACAGAGGGGTTACAACTACATGAGTAAGGTGATGAGCACATTTCTTGTCCAGCCTTGTTACCCCTCCTTTGTTCTTCTCCTACTGTCCCTTCCGTCCCCCCCACACACACACTGCCTATTTTTTTTTTGGGGGGGGGGGTTGGTCATGGGGCCTGAACTCTGGGCCTGGGCGCTGTCCCTCAGCTCTTCAGCTCAAGACTAGTGCTCTACACTTGAACCACGGCACTACTTCTGGCTTTTTCTGCTCATGTGGTGCTGAGGAATGGAACCCAGGGCTTCTTGCATGCAAGGCAAGCGCTCTACCACTGAGCCATCTTCCCAGCCCCGACACCGCCTGCTTATAAAGAATGATTCCACTATATGTCAAAGCAATAATACATGAAAATGTTTGTGTCCTAAAGCAGACTCTTTACAAACTGTTCTGCTATCCAAGGGCCGGGGAGCTGCGGCCACAGACAGCCCCCTTGCAACAGGTAAGGCAGCAAGAAGCCGTGTGGCTTCTCTTTACAGCTCTGGATCACAGACTTGGTGTACTAAGTTTGCAAACCTTGGTGTCCTCTTGACCGTTCTCTTACCCTCTTCCATTATTTCACAACTTTCAGTAAAGAAGATGACCAGAACAATCACACTCAAAGCTCACCTATGCTATTCCCTATAAAAGCCTTGGCTCAGGAATAGACTGCAATGACAGAGTAAATTGTGGTTTTGTTCATTACCACTAACGCCGACCAACAGAAGCAACAGAAAGCTGACAACATCAAGGAGTATGATGGCTAAAAATAAAGTGAACGGCAAATGAGAGGGAAGAAGCGAGTGCTGGATAAATAGTCAGGATTTTTTCAGGCATACTCAATAGTTCTAAGGGATTTTTTAAAAATTGTTTTCTTTGGTGGTCCTATACACAAACATTTAGAAAGTCTGGCCAATGTTTTGATGTGAAGGAGGGAGGCAAGCGGAGCTCTTTTCACAAATGGGTTTTCAAAGGCAAACATAAACTCAAACAGTAACAAAATCATGAAGGCAGTAGAGTCAGATGATTATCATACAGCCCATAATTGCCTTTTCCAGCCCCGTTCGACCCTCACACACCAGCGTCACCTTTTACCCACAGACACACATGAATCTGACCTGGCACGCAGAACTCCTAGCCTGTCCTCAGAGCCTTTCAGACCAGGCCTTTTGCTTCCACGAGGCCCTACAAGCCAGAGACACCTCTGCTCTACCAAGGACCGTGCCTTCAGCTTCCAGGACACACAGAGAGAATGATGTGTGAGAGGAGCCAGGGCACAGGCCATGTTCTTTCACAGGGGTCCCTAAGAAATGTCCTTGAGTCCTTATCAATGGGACCTTTCCAAGGGAGGGAGCGAGCCACACACCCACCTTCCAGCCTTTGTCCCAGTCCTAGAGGGCTCTGCTTCCCACCAGCATCCACTTACCCAGGGGCACGCGTCCCCTCCGGCTGGGTGGAACAGCTTCCCTGCAGTTGCACAGATACATCCTTTAAACAAAAGTCTTTTCTCCTCCCTGAGTCTTCCCCTAATGGGCAAAGCAGCAGCTGTTGCCATTAATCCTCAGTGTTGACAGGAAACCGTCTCTTGGGGTCTAAATCCAGCCTAAGTCACCGTAGTTTGCTCCAAAACCACATTTATATCCACTCCGTTTCCAACCACAGCGTTGTTCGAGCCTGCAAGAAGAGCCGGAGGAGCTGGTGCGGGCATGTGGCTGGCATCGACAGCCTTGGCAGAAGCTGTTAGGATCAAACACACCTTAGGAGTCCACTTCCGGACTCCGTCCCCTACTGGTTGTGCTGAAGCCGGTTTCCACACACTGGTATGCCTTTAAGAATCTCCTGATACTAGACAAGGTGTGCCGTGCCTGCAATCCCAGCTACTCAGGAGGCAAAGACAGGAGGCTTGGGAGTGCATGGCCAGCCCAGTGCACTAGTGAGATCCAATCTCAAAAACGGAAAAGACAAACAAAAAGGCCAGGGGCCATGGTCCCGTTGGTAAGTCGTTTGCCTAGCAAGGGAAGGGCACTCTCCTAACCTTCCTGTTTCCCTCCTCCCAGCCTCATACAGCCCCCAGCCCCCTGGGACGAGACACCTGCTGCAGACAGAGGAGAATCTGCCAGCCCCTCTTCTCTGAGCCTGCAGCAGGAACTCTCAGAAAACCCTGGCTCCTGGATTAGAAAGGGGGTGAGAAGAGGCTTAGAACAGCATGTTCCATTCGCCTGTGCGCTGTCTCTCCGTGTTGGAAAGCAGGATGACATTTTATGTTACATACGGACCTCACCACCTGCCAGACCCCAGCCATCACCCAGCCCCACGCCCAGCTCACCGCAGAGCCAACAGCAGCAGGGCTGTTACTTGCTTGTCCTTCTTTGGCTGAGCTGAATCAGAAACTCTTGCTAGGAATCTAACTGCAAAACATACAGAAGGACACGCTATATAGGATCCCCAGAAGAAAGAAACATAATATGAGCCACATCTACAACTTTTTTTTGTTTGTTTGTTTGTTTTTTTGGGTCCGGTCGCGGGGCCTGAACTCTGGGCCTGGGCACTGTCCCTCAGCTCTTTAGCTCAAGGCTAGCGCTCTACCACTTGAGCCACAGTGCCACTTCCAGCTTTCTTCTTTTTGCTTATGTGGTGCTGAGGAATCAAACCCAGGGCCTCATGCATGCAAGGCAAGCGCTCTACCACTGAGCCACCTTCCCAGCCCCCACATCTACAACTTAAAACCTCCCAGTTGCACTATGGGGGAAAAAAGAGTTAAAAGCTACACATTTACATAATATGCTATATACATAACTTGCTAGTAGTTCTGTAGGAAAAAGTTAAAAAGCTAAAACAAATGGTGTTTATTTTTCTGTATGTATTTAAATCATTATGTTGAAAGTACTATTGCCCATGCAATCGGTATAAAAATGATTAGAGAGTTGGCAGTTTTTCACAGTCAAACTCTAGTACCCAGGGTGTGTCTTGCGTATCTCAACTATGTATCTCAATTCAGACTAGCTGTCTGTCCGCCCCTCCCCCCCAGGAGCCACACACAGTAAGTTTGTTATCAGTAGACATCACAGGTCTAGACCAGGGAAAGTGGCTGAGCAGAGGTCATGATATGGAGTCAGGTCTGACAGCTGATAGTTCCAGGGGCAAGACAAGTAAGATGAAGGGACTGGGAGTGGAAGGAATGATCAAGAGCAGATGTAACAGAAGATCTACCCGTACAGTGCTTGTACAGACCAGAGGCTGTTCTGGCCACAAAGTTAATAAGTTCCCTCATTCATAATCACAACACTGTGCATTCTGCACCATTGTTATCCTGCTCATGGGCAAAGATCCTGAGTCCCAGGATCTCCGTAACTTACTCAAGTTCACCCAATTCTCAGGCTATGATAGATGGGTTTTCCCACTGCAGGTTCACTTCTGAATAGCTTTGTAGCCTCATCTACAAAAAGGATAACTACATCCCCACGAAGAATTCCCAATGAGGCGCTAAGTAACAGCCACTTAGCACTTGACAAGAGCTTTGACACCAAGGAACTTGGTCCAGAGAAGGAAGAAATGGGGTCTGCACACACAGAGTAGGCAGCCGACAGCCCCTTGCCAAAGCCAGTAAGAGAGAGAGAGAGAGTGTGAATGTGAAAGGCAGCAAGCAAGCACCGAATGCAGAGCAAGAGGGGCAGTAGTGTAGTGAGCCGGAGCTCTGCCGCCCCCCCCCCCCGCACCGTGCCCCCCCTTCCCTCTCACCCCGTGATGAGACGGAAGCCCAGCTGTGTGCTCCCAGAAAGTGAGAAAACAGTGTTTTTATGCCACAAATCTGCTTGAAGTCATTTCACACTAGCAATTTGGCTCATCTTGATATATTAGCAGAACTAAATCCATTACATTAACATCCCTGGCCCTGACTAGAACAGTTATATTAATGTCACACACAGGGAAGGTCTAGCGGTGGGGTTTATGGTTATAAATCAGGCCTTTTGTGTCCTTCAGCAAATCACTTAATTTCTCTGGGCTACTTCCTGTTTTAAAATGAAAGATTTGAATGAAATAATCCCTTAGATTTCTCCCAGCTGGACAACTGTACATATTTTTAATGTTCTATTTAGTCACGAAATGTATAAGAATAAGCTGCTGAGAAGCATGTTGGCAGGTTGTGGACCAAAGTCTGGCTCATAATTATCATCTTCACCAACACCTTCCCACATCACTCCTGGCTGAAGATCCAGCCTGAAATGGTCCGAGAATATCCACTGAGTCCTCAGAGAGGAAAACCCCACTGAGATTCTGTTCCAGAGCTGCACATTTTCCTTCTTCAAATGTTTTTCCTTCTTCCTACCTTGATCACTAATTGCCATTGTAACTGATTCCTGTGCTGAACACAGGCTGACTATCCTAGATCCTTATTATGGTGTTCAGACAGTCAAAATAAGTAAAAACATCTCCAGATACTTTGGAGTGCTAGGACAATCTATGTAAGGTGAAAGAAAAACTCCCATAGTTCTCTTTAAATTTCACTATAACTTGCATTAAAATGGAAAATCAATGGACGGTTAGCGGGACCCCCTTTCTTTTTGTCATCCCTTAAAAAGAAAGGTTTAGAGCTTCCATTCTTCCCAGTTATTCTCTCCCCCTTTCCCTGCAAAAGAGCAACACAGACAAACAGGGGTTTGGCTCAGATCTAAATACTTACTGTTGGCAAGGGATGGTGACATTTTACTTGGGGTGAGCTAACAGTGTAGCAGCATGCTTGTTGTGTGATATTGGGCAAGTTCTGAGGAGCCAGTTTTCCCATCTGTGAAATAGGGAGACTATTAGATTTCTCATGAGGATGTTGTAAGAATGAGACACACTTGCAGCAAGGCATAGCAGTAAATGAAAGAAGCTACTATCAGAAGTGAGTTAAAAGTCAGGTAATCAGCTGGGTGCCGAGGGCTCACACCTGTAATCCTAGCTACTCAGGATGCTGAGATCTAAGGATCTCGGTTCAAAGCCAGCCCGGGCAGGAAAGTCCGTGAGACTCTTGTCTTCAATTAACCACCAGAAAACCAGAAGTGGTGCTGTGGCTCAGGTGCTAGAGCGCTTGCCTTGAGCTGAAATGCTCAGAGACAGAGCCCAGGCCTTGAGTTCAATCTCCACAACCAACAAGAAATAAAAAGTCAGGTTACCAGAGTCTAGAAGAGCAGAATATTTCAACTGGAAGCAAGAAGTGGGTGTGGATAGATGGAGAGGTGAAAGGGCATTCACAATGGAGGGAAAGCCCGAATGCAGATGTACAGGTGTGTTCGTTGTCATTACACAGACATAGATGACACCCCCTGGAGTAGGGTGATGGAGACTGAGGTGCTAATGGAGTAAATAAAAATAAGAGGAAGAAGCCAGAAGGTTTGGGGATGGCTTGTATGGAAGCCAAGGAGGGAGCAAAAATGACTGGCATCTAGAGAGCCCAGACAAGTCCAATCTGTGCAGGATCTGAAAGAGGCAAGGTGGTGGCTCCTTTCTAGAGGGCTGGAAATGCACTCCGCTTTCATTCACGCCTTCAGCCAACCTTTACTAAGTGCATACAAGGGAAGTCCATGTGCTCGGGGCTATAACGATGAACACCACATAATTTGCCCCTCCAGGGTTGTAATGGAGACAAATGTTCCAGCAGATAATTACAAAACAATGAGCTACATGCTTAGGGGAGATGTGATCATAGACTGTTTGAGTAGCACAGGAGAAAAAACAAGGATCTTAGGGTTGGTAAAGAATTGCCTTTTCCCTTTCAATAATCCTTAACATTCCTATCTTATGATTGAATGCCCAAAAGTAGTCTCAAAGGCCCATGCTGCAGTGACCGCGGCATCTCTCTACATGCCTGTTTTCTAGATTTTACACCATGCATACCCTTTATGCTCACACAGGCCCTGGACTCCACCCTCTATCCTGCATTGACCATCCCCGGTTGAAACCTCTGGAGGGTGGGAATCATTGCACAGGACCATGAGCAGCGTAACTCACCTATTACCTGTTGCATAACTTAGCATAGGTAAAGGTAAAGACCAAGAATCATGCAGCCCTCTGATCAGATTTCCATGTGACTCATGGACTGACACACCGTAATGTAATTGTCACCATAATGACCCTGTGAGACATTCTAGTTCATTCCACATCGTACAGATTAAAAAACAAAACCAAGAAAACACAATAAAACGTCCCTTTAATTACCCAGTGCAGAAGTAGAGACAAACACGAAAGTGAGCAAAATCCATATGATGACAGCATCTGCAAGAGGCTAACAGGTGTACTCTAATAACACCTCCTTAAGGCTGTCTTTTCCCCTCACCTTGCTTAACTTCTCCCGGACTTCCCCTGCCTGGGCTGGCTTTGACCTGGATGGGACTCTTGTGGTTTCCAGGCTGGGTGAAGAAGGAAGGTGGGGAGGACTGGCAGGTGTCCTGTGGGTGATCAGCCACTGGGTGGCGCAGCGGAGGACTGCAAGACAGAGTGATGATGAGAAATGATCTTGACAGGCCAGAGCAATGAGCTGGATCTAACAAGACAAAATTAAACAAGGACAAATGTTAAATGCTTTGCTCAGGTCAGAGAGAAAAAAAAAAACCAATGGCATAAACTAAGAACGAAGGAGATACGGCTCAACCTGTAGGCACTTAGAAAACACACATACACCTTTAAGTTTTGAGCTGAAAACATGCTACTTTGAAAATAAAAGAGATCAACAACAAAAAAATGAGGCATTTTTGATGCCACATTATCCCCTCACCAAGGGACAGAATTGTCCGTTCTACTCCGAAGTTACTAGGCTACCTTTGAAATTAGATTCTGGGCATCCTACTTATTTCTATGGAAGAAGGGACAATGCACCATTAAACATAATTTTGAAGCTGGGCACAGGTGGCTCATGCTATATAATCCAAGCTACTCTGGAGGCTGAGATCTGACAACCATGGTTTGAAGCCAGCAAAGAAAATCCATGAGACTCTTACCTCTAATTAACTACCCAAAAAGCCAGAAATAGAGCTGTGGCTCAAGTGGTAGAGTGCTAGCATTGATTCCCTCCCCCCCTCCCCAAAAAATGATCAGGGGCAGTGCGCAGGCCGTGAGTTCAAGCCCAAGACAGGCATAAAATAATAATAATAATAATCATAATAAAAAATAATTTTTGAAAAAAGCAAAGCAAAGCAATTATCAAAAGCTTTTCTACGGGACACAGTAATTTTCATTGTTTACATGTTATTTTTAATCTTTCGTGTTACACTAAACAAAATAGGTTAAACTCACATAAACAAGAGTGCATTTAGAAGACAGGGGCCTTGGTGGCTTATGCCCCCTGATCGTGTATTTTTGGAGAGTAGTTTAGCAATGGGAGTTTCATCTTGAGGAAGAAGCTCCACAGTCATGAGCTGCAGGAGCTAAGAGGTTGATCAGGAAAGATTAGGACCGTCCACAGTAGGGTTGGTTGAGCACTATAAAGAGTAGCATTGGCAAAGTCTTCAAAACTTTTAGAATGCCTTATTTATTATTATTATTATTATTTGCCAGTCCTGAACTTGAACTCAGGGCCTAGACACTGACCCTGAGCTTCTTTGGCTCAAGGCTAGCACTCACCAGTTGAGCCACAGTGCCATTTGCAGCTTTTTCTGTTATGTGGAACTGAGAAATGGAATCCAGGGCTTCATGCATGCCAGGCAAGCATGGTACCACTAAGCCACATTTCCATGCCTGTAGAATGCCTTCTTTTATAAAAGTGAATGCCTTCTTTTATAAAAGTGATTTTGTCTTCATAATAGGTTTCAAAAGCACTGTTTTGCTACTAATAATAACCCGATTCTTCATAGATGGGAACTTTTGGACAAAAGAAGCGGAATGTTGTAAAGCACAACCAAGGTGTTCGTACCACGGCAAGCCATTTCAACTTAATATTAAAAGCAAAAGTGTTCCTGTAAGTCAGATCTCTACAAAGATGAAATAGATATCTCCAGATGTTCCTGCAGACGGTGTCTATTAGTGAAGCAATAGAAGAAAGCAATTTAAGAATTGATCATAGCAGTGGTTTTTCAATTTCTCTATTACAACTCACTGCACAAGATGTATTTTGTATTACCTCCAAGCAAGTGCACTCACCAACAATAAAATGGAGACAAAAGTGTAACACAGTAATGATTACTATTATTACACATATTATATTTAAATTCTTTTTCTATTTCTTTTTTGTTTTTTTTTTTTTCAGTGCTGACCTTTACCTAAACTGATTTCATTCCCCCTGATGTAGCACTCAAGTTGACGTGCACTCAAATACAGAACCATTTTGGGGGATGCTCAGGTGAGCTAAGAGAGCAAAGATCGCTTCTGACCATGACATGCAATAGCTCTAGGTTCCCCAAACTGTGTTATATAGCTTTAGAAAAGACAAACCTCCAAATCCTGAATTGAAACGCTGTGTCTCTAACTTGCTGCTCTCATTCTCTTGGCTGGCTTATTGAACTTTTTCACTTTTGATTCTGTTATTCCTACAATTACCTGTCCTTGCTTATCCTGTATCATAGGGGAAATCCTTTATTCCTTTACCAGAACAATTGGTAAGAGTATTAAGTTGTACAGCCTCAGGAGAAGGTTGTGACACTGGTTCATACAGCTGTGTTCGTTTATGTGGCCTGCCTTTTTTTAAGCCAGGGACAGATTCTCCAAGCACACTAACAACTATTCTCTAAAGAGACCATGACTATGACAGGACAGGGCTGGCTGTAAAGATTAAGCAGAGTGGTATATTCCATGCACCTGGCTCGTGGGAACTGCCAGTATGGTGTAGACGGGGTTGTGATGATGTGGAAGATGTTATCTTTACCATATTCCCCTAGTTTAGCGGTCTAGAAACTATACTTGTTACAATACTCTGTGTTCTTGACACGAATGAACCCATACTGGCTCCTAAAAAAAAAGCCTCACTTGTTTTTTAATCTCCTTCTAGTTCTTTTGAGTATTTCAAGGCCTTCACAGGAAGCTGAGTGGTAGGTTGTTTCCCTGTCATTCCTTCCTATCTTTCAGAAGGAAATTGGCTCACTTCTCATCTTCATTCTCACAATGTTTGTCACCAGGATGTTGTTTTGTGCTGGGACATGCGTAACTCAATGCCACCAGACACCAGAGTCAACCTCCACGAGCTACTTTTCTGTAGTTGTGCGGCTCCTCCTAGAAATGTTTTTGGCTTGGAGACTTCTACTTTTTGAAGAACTGAGAAACAATATCTGGCCACAGTAGCCCGCTTTCTTGTCAGCTATAATGCCACACTCATGCATAAGTGAGCCCGTGTCTTTGGCGCTTGCTTCATTCTGAGAGGTCCCAGCACACGTAGAGGCTCCCGTTGCTTGACATATTCAGGTGGCTGGTGGCTGCCATTTTGCTGGTTTGAACGCCAGTCCTCCCACTAATTAGCTGGGTGATGTGAAACAAGTTTGCTCCTCTCTCTGCGCTTCTGTTTCCTCAATTACAAGAGGACTCAGAACTACTTGACAGGGCTCTTGTGAATATTAAACAAACTGAATGTGTGTCAGCTATTGTTACCATAATTTAGACCTCATTAAAGAGTTCTTGCCTTCTCTTTGCAGGTTGGATGCAGGTTAAAACTTTATAAAAGTAACTAAAATTGGGAGTATATCCCACAAGAGATTTATTTCCCTAAACCTTTGATGCCCATTTTCATAAAGGTTGGGTTATGTGTCTGACTACATCTGAGCACACAGGATGAGAGCAACTTCCTTTCCCCAGTTTTTGGCATTTCCCTGTCAGTGGCATTTCTTCCTTATGAGTCCTGGATCTTGGCCTTCGTGTTTCGTCCAATTCCTAAGCAAAGTGCCACCCATAGGGTGAACCAAAAATGCTTGAGATGGTCAGATTGCATGAGATTCCAGCATATTCTTCTTCATGCATATTCGACTTCTTGCCTCCTTGCCTAAGCTGTGCATTCCTGCCTCCCTAACATTCAAATATTGATAATGGGCCTGACACTGAACATGGGAACAATTTTAGTAGGCAACACAAATGCTTTTGAACACCAGGATTGAGTTGCTTGCTTACCAGGCAACTCAATTGATGATTGCTTGCCAGCAGGAAACCAGTCTAAAAACACCACTGTGCCCAGTACCACCAGGCATTGGAAATAAAAAGTGCCAGTGTCCAATGGCACTGCAATTGGTCTCGTCTCCATTTTAAACTTAAAACAGTAGTGACACATGTCTCCCCCACACAGGCCTATATGAAATTCCTAAAGCACTCAGCTCACCCACCCAGGTGCCCAGGGGGTCATGGACTGCGGTATATGAACAACCTCCAGCATGACATGAGTGACTCTCGCCCCTGCTCTTAATAAAATAAGAAACCAATAGGATTTCAGGAGAGAAACGATGCCTGGGGGCTGGGTTAGGAGTGAGAAATTGGAACCACCATCTAAAGGCAGTCCTTTCTGTGAAGGAGGGGGAGTGAGTGGCAGTAACAAAAGTAATCATGTGAAAAGTTTGCACTGGATTTTAATAAAAAGGATAGGTTTTTAAATTCTCTGCCTGATGGCGACATTCTTAGGAATCCTGGTTTTCTTTGGCTAAAACTGAAACTTCCCACTTTTCTGCATAGGCAAAATGAATTTGTTTAGGAAAATAGAGTTCTAATTGTGGAGAACACGGTTCATTCTCACCCCATCTCTCATTTCTTATCAATTAAAATTATTCTTAAAATACATGTGTCCCCCTCCTTTACAAATCCAACTATGGCATTTATTTTAATTTATTTTGAGATAAGGTCTTACTATGTAACCCGCTCTGTCTTGGATCCTTATGATCCTCAATTTCCTGAGTTTTGGAATTATAAGCATGTACGCTTACAATACAGCATTTTGATCAAGGCTTACATCTCTTGAAATCCTAGAGGTTTTCTTCTTAATCCTCGCGGTGATCAGTTTCCATGAAAGATGTAATTAAATGAGATTTTTCTTGTTTTGCCATAAACTGAAAAAAATGATCTGGAGAAAGTGAAATTGTACCTTGTGAAATATATTTGACATGAAATACACAACATGGCCTGGCTGGATGTAAGACTCCTTCGGGAGTGTGGAGCTGGGAGAGTTTTAGGGCCATGGGTGGGAGGGAGGGGTCCAGCGGATGCATCATTGACTTTCTGTTACTATGACAAAACACCTGAGAAAATCAGATTCTAAGGAAGGAAAGGTTTTCACACACGGCTCCAAGAATGTTCAGGCTATGATGGTCTCTGTCGCTCTGAAACTGCCCGGAGACCTCATCAGGGCAGGAAGCAAAGTTTCTCACTTTATCTTGACCAGGAAGGCAAGAAAGAAAGAAAGAAAGAAAAAAGCAAGGGGCATTGATTCCAATACCCTCTTTCAATGCTGTACCCCTCAGGACCTAGTGGCTCATGCCTGTAACCCCAGCTACTCAGGAGTAATAGTTACGAGGAGTATCATAGTCCAAAGCTGACCTGGGCAAAAAAGTGTGAGACCCTATCTGAAACTCAACTAAAGCAAAAATGGCCCAGGGGCATGACTCAAGTGGTAGAACACCTGACTACTGAGTGCTAGGAACTGAGTTCAAACCCCAGTACAGCCTCCTCCCCTCCCCAAAGATCTAAATAACGAAACACTCTACATCTCACTGTAAAGGAGGCTCCCAGTCACTTCAGTCTTCATTAAACATCTGAGCCAATGAGCCTATCACACAGGGCAACAGATTGAACCTGAAGGGAAAGGCAGTCCACGTTCAGTATCTCCATTCTCTCAGGTCCTTCTGGGCCTGATGAACCACAGGGAAGGGCTGCGGGGACAGGCCTGCTCGTTGAATAGTAATTAGGACGAGGGAGACTGGGAGGAAACAAGAAATGCCAGTCTCTGCAAGCGGCCTCTGGGGGCAAAGGCGGGGGGGGGGGGTTCCCACCTTGCTCTAGTACGCAAAGGGCTGGTGGAGACTTATTGATCGCCCCTGTCACCCCAACTACAGCAAGAACAAACCAGTGTCCGCTGCAGCATCTTGGAGGTAGAGGACAGCGGTCTGTGAGCACACAGACTTTTCTTCCTATGACTAGGAGAGAAACTTGATTTATTGATTCAGTGCTCGCTAGCAGACGGAATCGAGGGATCACTTACGCACCTGACCAACGCGCACAGCCCAGTTACCAGGGTTGCATCGACTCCCCAGGTGACGGGGGGCAAACCACTTAACCTCTTCTGCTTCAGGTTTCCTCATCTGGAACAAAAGGATGTGGTTCAGTGACCATGAGGGAAGAACGTGATTAGCTCAGAGGCTAATGAGCTCAGGATGTCAGGATGTCAGTGAGTGTGTGAGTGTGTGTGTGATGTGTGTGTGTGTGTAGGGGGAGTGGGGGAGTGGTCTCTGTTTGGCCCTCCTCCCTCCCCAATGGAGAAACTACCTCAGAACTCCAAGGGGAATGAAGAAGGGGCAGGAAGCTGGCTCGGCCCAAGATACCATGGTTAGGAAAGAGAAGAAAGCAAGCTGGAGCGTAAGCTCCTGCTGGCGCAGCTTTGAACTAGAGCAGCACATTCACTTTCTCAGTATAAAGACACTTGGGTTTGGAGTACACGGCTGAAGAGTGAGCCATGGCAGTCTAATGTAAAAGCAACAGTTCTGCTGGAATAGATCCCCTACCTTTGAAACATTCCACAGAGCACCTGTGGTTCTGATGTAAATCAAAGGCCCTGTGGTCATCTCCGCACAGTACAGGGAGAGCACGGAGTTGTTCGGCTTGAGATGTGTACTTGATCAGTGGAAAGAATGTTCTTATTCCCTGTGTTTTCTGTGACATCCAGAAATATATTCGCTGAGAACTATTTTTTTTTGGTCGGTCGTGGGGCTTGAACTCTGGGCCTGGGCACTGTCCCTCAGCTCTTCAGCTCAAGGCGAGCGCTCTACCACTTGAGCTACAGCGCCACTTCCGGTTTTCTGGTGGTTTATTGGAGATAGGAGTCTCACGGTCTCTCCTGCCCGGGCTGGCTTTGAACCTTGATCCTCAGATCTCAGCCTCCTGAGTAGCTAGGATTACAGGCGTGAGCCACCAGCGTCCGGCTTCACTGAGAACTTTTAACTTGGAGCAACCCAACCAAACCAGCACTTCCACATGGAGCTTCTGAAGCCAGCAAGGAGTGGAACTTGGCATCTCTTTAAAGTAGATTAAGACACAGGAGCACTGATCTGTTGACTCCAATCTTAATAAAGCAGATTCTTCAGTGCAACAAGTGTTTTACGCTTCAGTATGCTTTACAAAGGAGTTTTAAAGACATCTATAACACAAAAGATAAAGATGGGTAATTTTGTCAATTGGGCTAGGCCATAGTACCCAGCAGTCTATTCAAACATTATCCTAGATATTGTGGTGAATATTTTCTAGAAGAGATTTAAAAATTAAAAAGGAGACTACGTAGGGGCTGGGAATGTGGCTTAGTGGTAGAGTGTTTGCCTAGCATGCATGAAGCCCTGGGTTCTAGTTCTCAGTACTATACACACAGAAAAAGCTGTAAGTGGCACTGTGGCTCAAGTGGTAGAGTGCTAGCCTTGAGCAAAAGAAGCTCAGGGACGGTGCCAGGTCCTGAGTTCAAGCCCCCGGACTGGCAAAAAAGAAAAAAAAATAGATGGAATAAAGCAGATCCCGCCACCCTCCCTTGAGAGTGGGCTTAATCCAATCAGTTGAAGACTTTAAATAAAAGACATAAACCTCCTTAGGAGGAAGACTCTTCTAGCAGATGGCCCTGACTTGAACTGCAATCTGCAGCCTGCAGGCCTACCCTGCAGATGTTGGACTGGATATTCCTCCGTCTCTGTGAGTCAGTCCTTTGATGTGTCCTTCTCTCCACTCATCCATCCCCTCAGTCCGTTTCCACGGAGCGGTGTGATGAATAAGCACTGCAGTGGATGTTGCTGTGTTGATCAGTATTTCTGGTTTTTCTCTGCTGTTTCTGCCTCTGTGAAAGGAATACCATTTCCCGGAAAACTATGGCCACGTAAATGGCTTTGGACAGTCATGTGAAGTGGAAGTGACTGGCGTCACGTCTAAGCGAAAGCATGGAAGGAGTATGTTCCTGCCACTCCCCTCTTGGCAGCAGAGCCCCAAGTCCTCACGCTGAGATGTGGAAATACCAGACGCTGCCCGCCCCCCTGGGCCTCTGATGACCCCACGGAGCAGGGGTCACCGCCGGGCTCCTGTGCATGTGGAGCGTGATTGAGAATGACTTGCTTCAAACCACTGAGATTTGGAGATTGTCTAGAATACATCACTTGGGGGGAAAAACGTTCTCTGGCATCCTAGCAACACCTACTCAACTATACACATTACACGTTCTTAACTTTTTCCCCACAGCTACAAGATCAATGACTGCTATGGGACAGAAAACACTGAATCATTACTTCGAATACTGCATATACATGAAGATGACAGAAGTACCTCTAAAATTAACTTATGTCAACTTTTCCTAAACTGACCTATGCTTTGATCCAATTATAGGTACATTTTGCCAAACTTGCCAATACCCATTCAATTATGAAGCCTAGAATAAAGGAAGTGTAATTTGGACTTGGACATTTTTGGAACGTAATCCTTGAAAACTAGCCTGTCCCAAAGGCTCCAGTGCTGTATGATTTTACAAAATTTTAGGATCTGACCATCTTTCTCTCTGCTGGAATTCTCAAACTAAGAAAAGAAAATGCTTCCATACTACAGACAGATCAAAACCAGTATTATCCATAAAATATGAAGAATCTATTATGGTTTCAGTTAAGCCACAGAAAATGTAGCTTTTGCTGAGTGGAAATAATCAAATGTATATATGAAAGATGGAATGTTGACATACATGAGCTTATGGAGAACCACGACGAAGGTGGAAATAATCAGGACTTCAAAATTACCCAGTTTATCTGGAATCTCAAAATATGAACACGGCTGAGATGACCAAATCCATCCATAGGATGGCACTTCAAAAACAATTCTCACAATTTTGTCCCACCTTAAAAGAGGTACGCACCATTCCCTCCCTTAATTATCCAAGCCTGTGAGCAAGCCTCCATTGTTCCTAGAGGAATTGCAGTTCCATCCTAGGTAGGAGACCACGCAATTACCTGCCCACAGTTGCCACTCAACAGACGATGGACTGATTTCTGTCACCTCTTTCTCAAGCGTCAATACCCTAGCCACCTCCCTCATCTGCTAAAAGCAGGGAGCAGGTAGAGAGAAAGAGCAGCATCAGGGCTATCTCCATGTGCTGACATGCATGGCCTGCCTCACTGTGCATACCTGCAATCTTACCCTGACTTAGGGTAAGTAGGATAACTGGGCCCCAGTGGAGTCAGGATTGGCTTCAGTCACTTTTGGTCATGGCCATGTACTAGTACACAGAATTAAAGCCTTTGTTGGATATTCAGCCTCCAGATATATCATGACTGACCCTGCAGAGTCTCCTGAACAAGGTCAGGGAGCAAACTGCACTGTCTTCCTTTCACCTATGATTTCTTTTTGTGCAGAAAAGCACAATGGCTAAGGTGCTTGGCTGGGAACAATAGCAAGGTCACAGCAGGCTAGATCTGCCCCAATACAAAAGCAAGCCAACCTGCAGGAGGCTCATTTGCTCAGAGGACAAAGGTCAGTGAGCAGTGGGCAGGTCTCCACAGCCAGGAAGCAGACTGGATCCTCAGGCTTGTGAGCTGCAGGTCACCAGAGAGTCAGGGATTATCAAGGACAATTTTCCCCAGAGGTAGAGTCTGTTCCTAAGCAGCAGATAAATACAGCCTTCGGGGTGATAAGCCTTACATACAAGTCCATGCTTTGGGGGTGGGGGTGGGGGCGCCATGGCTTCCTACCTTGAGGAAATCCCACAGGCATTTGTTCCCATGTCAGTTATTCACAACTCTTCCCATGCTACATATTGCCTTGATCAAGAAGCTCAAGATGTAAGCCATCTCTCAGTAACATTCTCTCCCTGAATGCTGAGAACATGAAAACCAGACCACATGTCGGCCATCTGTATTTGTAGTTGTCAACAGGTCTGTTTGGGGATAAACAGTTTTGAAGAAGCAATTCAACTGGTTGGAAGATTAGCCAAGGAATAGCTCAAAGACCAAAACAAGAATGTGAAGTCAGATACTCTAAAAAACAACAACAACACAAAAACAACCTAGCACAGTTCTGTTTCCCTGCTAAACATTGTTTTGTCACAGCCTGAGAGAAAGAGCGACTGCCAGGGTTTGTGGGAGCACAACAGGGGAATATATTTACTCATGAACAAACGTCTCTGCTACCAAGCAATGGGAGTTGGTTCACTGACCTTTAGCTAACTGCTAAGGAACAGGTCATTGTAGAAATTCCATATTGCTTCAAGTGGCTGTGTGAAGGCACACAGGGACAAGGTGTGCGGGTTCAAGTGCACAAAGCAGTGCTCATTTCCATAAAATGGCGGCATTTCCCAAAGGCCATCTTAAGAATAGTTGTATGGATGGAAACACTACTCTAGTGGAGCTATTAAAAATGGAGAGATGGCAAGGGGAAAATGAAGACTCATCTACTGAAGGCATCAGGGAACAACTTAGCAAACATAGGATGCCACAGATTGGTGGAGGGGATGATACCGCTGTAAGGGAGAGGCACAGTGACCCAGCAGCACCCCATGCTCTACAAACAAGGGAGCACATGTGTCCCCTGCTGGGAGGGACAGCTATTTTCTCCAAAAAGATGTCATTTATAAAAATGCACCCTTTTTGAGCTGGACCCTTTTCCAGCTCCTGTCAAGAAGTGATAAACTATTGAGGCATAGCATAAAGCATGCTATTTTCCGTGTGCCCAGTCAAACCTTGTGAAATGGCTCTGGTCACCTTTCCCAAAGTAGTAATTAAAAAAAAAAAATCGTTGTTCCCAACTACTCTCTGATCTTTAAAATAAAGCACAAATGCCACACACCTCTTCAAAAATCAGCAGGACCTGCTCCCTCCCTGTTCCCATCCAGATCCCAAATCCTTCAGCCAACAATTGTTTAAAATCCCCTCACCAGCATCTCTATCAGGACTCCTGTTGGGATTAGGGAAGGAAGGCTGGACACGACTGTCCAGCATCCATTCAATCATAGTGCCCAGACATATTGTCGCTCCTGGACATAGTGCGCAAGTGTTCAAATGAAGCACTAATGAACAGTATAAGCACTCTCAACAGGAGTCATACACTAGAGAAGCTGTGTTATGCCAAGAAAACCCTGATGGCTCCTCTCCTGGGGAATGTCTCACTTGAACATGGCTGATTTGTAAGGGCTTTCTCAAAGCAATCTGTAAATAGGAAGTAGGAGAAATCCTCTGCAATTGTAGCTTTAGCAATAGAATCTGACCAAGTCTAGACTCTGGGCTTTGCTTTACTCTAAATGATTGTCACAGTTCCACAGGACAGCTTTTCCTCTCCTGTGTGGTAAACTGAGAGGTGAGTATCAATGCCAAGGCTCTTAAAAGGGACCAGGTAGATGTTCATTTAACTGCACAAACATGGCAGGGTGGCTGTGATGGAGTTTTTGTTTTTCCAGACTGAAATAGGATTATGCGCTAGAATTTTAACCCAATTCAACTAAGATACTCCTTTTGTGGAAGCACCACCGCTAGATCCTAATTCCATTAGGACAGGATCTAATGTATAAGCCATGTACACACCAGTTTAATTTCAGTCAGGCAAATATAAGGAAATGACACCACTTGAACCTTAAATTAAATAATCTTGGAGGAAGATATAGGTTTTGATACTTCTTTTAATTCTTTTAGCATTTTGTATATTGACACACATGTAAAAGAAAATGAAACTTAAGTGAGCAATTCTTTACAAATCAATCATAATTTTGTCTCTCTCTTACTCATGTCAGTGAAAAAATCACCAACTATTATGAAAACTGGACAAATTATATCACAAAAGAACCCCCCAAAATAGAAAAACATTTCATAAAAAATATGTCTAAATATGAAACAGCTGCTTCCTGGTGCCTTCACATCCTTCTCTTCTGGGTGCTGATGTACAACACTGAAAAGACAAAAATAAATCTTAGGTATCATAGCAACACATTTCAAATGCAGATGGACCCGACTGACAACTCTGTATATTAAAAAGGAGCCCTCTCACCATGGTATTAATTTGGGAGCCACTAAAAGACTAGTTTTACGAACCTTGTCCTTGGTTTCATGTCTTATGCCTGCGTCTAATTTTACCTATGCATCTGGCTGACTTTACAGGTTGCGAGAAGGAATTCAAATAAAATGAAGCATCTAAAGTCTACGAATGCTTTATAATGAAATGTGCAATAATTACTCTTTTAAGGAAATAAGTCAGGGAATCTACCAGGCTAAATTTCAGATTAAGAATAAGTAAGTAGTATACTTCCTTTTACCTCCACAGCATAAGCTCTAAACTTACTCTTTACTTTTTTAATTTCAACAGAAGAAACTAATGTTTTTTATTTATTTATTGGCCAGTCCTGGGGCTTGAACTCAGGGGCTGAGCACTGTCCTTGAGCTTCTTTGGCTCAAGGCTAGCATTTTACCACTTAAGCCACAGCCCCATTTTTGGCATTTTATGTTTATGTGGTGCTAAGGAATCGAACCCAGGGCTTCATGCATGCTAGGCAAGCACTAAGCCACATTCCCAGCCCCAGAAACTAGTATTTTTTAAATAAGATATCAAACTCCAGAGCTTCCCAAAGTTTTGCTTAGGTGAGACAGCCAAACTGAATTCAATAGGATACGTGGCACATGAAAACGAAGGAAAACCGGAATGCAGGATCACCATGCAAGCTTTCTGCAGAGGCACTCCCTTCCTCTGTGTGCTCAGATAGTCTCATTAGAGTGAACATTAAGACATATCACACGAACCCAGCCTAAATGACCTGAGTTAAGTTAGGATCCTCTAAGAGCACACCAGTGAATCTGGGAATCTAAAGAGAAGTGTCCCGACCACAGCTTGCAGAAGGCTGTCTGAAGGGACTCCTTACAAGTCAAGTCAAGCCATTCCAGGAATGCCACAGTCCCATATGCAATGGGCTTATGAAAGGACAGAGCATCCCTGGCCTAGAGACTTCCCAGCTGTCTTGAGATGAGCAAACCGTAACACCTCTTAGTAAAAAGAGAAAGTCAAATTAGAAAGATACAAGAAACAGGAGAAGAAAGTCTATTAAAAAGCAAGCAAACACGTATGTAAGACTCTTTATAGCAAAGAGGCCCAACTGTTAAGGTGCTGAGGATACTCTTAATCTAAAGTAAAGAGCTCAATATAAAATCTAAACTCAAGAATACCAGAGCTCCATTTGAATGGGATGAGACCAAAACAAAGTGTAGGGCTTAGTCAAGGGTAATTGCTGAAATTTTGATGTCTTCCTTTCCTTGCTAAATATTCATGAAATGTGGGGTATAGTAGTGAGTATTTGTAATCCAGCATTTGAGACCAGCCTAGACACTCTAATGAAACTCTGCCCACCCCTGCCCCAGTTCAAATATGATTTTACTGATAATTTGTGCTTTAAAATAAAGTGACTGTAAAACAAACAAACAAACCAATAATTGTAGATAGCAATGTAGTAGGTCTCAAGAAACTGTATAACTTCAGGGCTGTATTTCCTATAGTTCCATTTGTCAAATTAAAAGGTACACATTTCCACAAAACTAACTACTAAGCAAATATTAACAGAGAAGATGCGCTAAATGCCAAATTATATAAACTAAAATCCTCACAATATAGTAGGGAAGTGGCACCCATTCTTACGGCCCTGATTTCCAGACTATAAGACACACGAGTAGATGTTAGGGGAATATAATAAGTGATATTTAAGAGAACAAAGTTCTAGATCAACCTAACGAAGCCCCTCAGATGCTTATCAGTAAAAAGAGCAAATTAGAGAATTTCTAGTTGCTAAAAAAATCCCATTTTTGACCCCAAAACAAACCTAGCTGCAATGTAGATCTTAGAAGCACTTAAAAACAAAAGACAAAAACAACTAAAAGTCAACTTTTAAATTATCTAGAAAGCCCTCGGTTGCTCCTGATTATAAACAAAAATGGTTTATTACAAACACTGCCCAATAGCAGAGTGAAGAAATATTACCATTGTTTCCTCGGATAAATGCATCCCCGTACTTATTCTTGAGCTGTCCATTGACATACTCCTCTGTCTGTTCCAAGGCTATGTTCATGTAGCCGTCCAGGCAAGCCAGGACTCCTGGGGACAAGATTTGGTCAAAAGCAAGATACACAAAGTAAGCAAGAGCTGGGTATAACTTACAACTAACATTGTTTATTACCCTTAGATGCATAAGATAAAAATTAAGCACAAGAGGTGTGTTCACTCAGCGAGAGTCTGAATGGGGCTAGGAAGTCCAAGCAATGAAAGCAGCCAGCGCCCACTACCCCAGCACAGACTGCAAACTACCCTTTCTTCTCCTAGCATGCATGATTACCACAGCAACTTTTAAAGCCTTTACAGGAGAAAATGCTCAAGAGGAGCCTAGGGAAAATGCTGTTCTTTGGCAGCTAACAACAGGAGCAGGCAATTATGCCTGGACAAACCATCCTCCTTTCCAGTGGCACTTCTTACTTTCGCCACTAAGTGAAATGCAGACCTGGCAGATTTACTTCACTCTTTTACAACAGCTACTGAAGCAGATGAATGTACTCTGGGGTTAAGAGGAAGTCTCCACAATCTGTTAAAATAATACAAGAGGAGACAGCAGGTGCTCCTGAAAGAACATCTCAAAGCTGTGACTCACAGTGAAGAGCAGCTTGAGAATACAAGGCGACATATTGCATTCTAACGCATCCCATTCTGTTCTGTTACAGTTAAAATATTTTCAAATCAAAACTAATAGAGAAAAATGGCTAAACACATTCCAGAGAGCTTTCAAGGAAACAATGTGAGTGAATCACTGTAATTGTGTGATGATGGTACAGATTTCAAAAAATCTGACCAGATCATTTTTTTTCCCTCAAGAAATGAAAGCCTCTAACGCTCAGCTTCTACTTTAAAGTGGTACTTTCTAGTGCACACACGGAGGTGTGTGTGTTTAAAAGCATGTACCACAGATTCAATTCGATTAACTGAGTCAACAGTTTCATTTAAAGTCTTAGCATCATTAATATGCTCCTCACTCTCTGCTTCTGCCCCCATTATCCTCTAAACAAAAAAAGTTTCTTTTCAAAATCACGCGTGTGTAATGAGAGCACAAGACATTAAGCTAACGGAACTCTCAGAGCTGTAAACTTAAAAGAATCAAAATGGATGGGACACTATCAAGAACTATTAATATACCTCAGCAAAACAAAGCTGAAGACACAACTTTACAGCTTCTTTCCTGTTTGGGCTATCTTACATCTAGCCCACAATTATAAAATATCTAAGACATCACATGTAAATTATGTGAAACAGTTTTTAAAAAACATTTAGAATAAAAATGCTTATAATTCAAAACATCTATTCATATAAAAGTAAAAAAAAAATCTGCTTAGAGCATAAAGTTATAACTCCCTTCCTTCTCCAAGAGATAAATTACTTCAATGAGGAACTTTCTTCAAATTTAAACTTTCTTCAATGAGGAACTTTCTTCAAATTTAAAGAGCAATCACCACCAAGAGTAGTTCATTCTTTTAATAAGGCTCCCTCACCACATTTTAACAGTTCATCAAAGGAGAAAAATTATACATGAAAATACGTTCAACCTCATCACTAAACAAAGAAAGTAATATAAGGGCTGCTGAGAATAGGAAGATAAATCTGAGCCCCACTGGTGGGCCACTGGGCACACAGATATCCTAAGCCCAGGGGATCCACCCTAACAAGATACTTGGGCTAATGCTCAAGATAGAAGGGGGATGGGGGGGGGGTAGAAGTGAGGGCGGGGGATGCACAATTGCTTACAATAGCAGAAAACTGATATGTGTAGAAAGAAGAAAAAGGGAGGTGATTATCACTAATTATTTATTAAAGAGACCAAGAAAAGGTCTAGTGAATTAGTTATCTCTACCTGTGAAATAGTCTAGGTAATGGAATGTATCTTAATTTTGGAAGATTATGGACTTAGTAACTTTAAAAAAGGGAATTTGGTATGAGGAGCTGTAGGACTCTCTGGATACCGCCACGTTTCAGGTGGGAAGGTCATGCTGTAAGATAATATGCAGTTAAGGAGCTGCTAGCCAGTCTCAAACACTTTGCCAACACTGTGCTGCTGTGCTTGGTGTTCAGCTACTCGTGCCTGAGGTGACTGGGAATGGGTCCCTAGTCACGACTGGGAATTTGTGTATAGATCCTCACAGAGCAGTCAGAATCTCAAAGACGGGAGACAGAAGCATGTACGCTCTGCTGGCAGAAGTTTCTCTTGAAAAGGAACCTTTTGAGAGGTTGAAAAAGGGACATTGGCAACCAATGCATCTCCTGGCCTATCGGGTACATTTAAGAGGCTAATAAAAATCAGCAGGTCACATTTACTTATTTAGTTATCAGTGCAGATGAAACATGAAAATATTACCTCGATAATCTACTCCAGAATTTAATTTTACTACAACTGGCCGTCCGATGATTTGCTTTAAGAAGTCACTAGGGGTTTGCTTCCGCAGACTCATTTTAACAATCCTGATCAGAAAGACGAAAGGGAGTGATAAACATTAAAGGCAAAAGTTAATTATTCAATAAGAACAACCACCAACCCTTGGGCCCTTAACATATTTATAGGAAATCAAGTATACTGTATACAGAGCCTCACTATTATTATTCTACAAGTATATCATAGCTAGCATGCTGTCAGGTGCAGACTGAGACAATGAAGCAGACACTATGCTAAGCACTTTACAGCTCATGGTACAGCCTCATTAGAGAGCTGTGTTTATAGACAAGTACTCCCAGCTGCGTGTCACTGCTGGACACCTGTCACAGCACCTCTACCATTTAGTGAACTCTTGTTTTATGCTGACAACTCTATTAACATTATTAGCTATTAGCCATCACATTTAATATGTACAGGAAGGCTGGGAAGGCCTTGACTTTCCCATTTTGCTGATGAAAATAAACCAAAATGTGATAGAACACTCAAATCAGCCTTAAAGTCCACATTAAAAGGAAGAGGCACACTTGTGAATAACTAATGTCCAAACATTACTTCTGAAAATAACATCATCACAACCAAAAGCTAATAACTGAGTCTACAATATGACATCAAAAAGCTGAGCTGGACTTGTTGAAACCCCTTTGTATAACTACTCAAAAGATAATTTCTTTAAAAAAGCCAGACTGACTGAAGGACTAGCTCAAGAGCATCAGCAGAGCAAGCTCATGCCCTGTGTTCAAACCCCAGTGCCAGAAGAAAAAAGAAGTCAGACAGAAAAGTTGGCCATTGATCCTTTTTTTGTTTTTTTTTCCCCCGTCAGTTGTGGGGCTTGAACTCTGGGCCTGGACGCTGTCTCTCAGCTCTTCAGCTCAAGGCTAGCGCTCTACCACTTGAGCCACAGCGCCACTTCCCCATTGATTCTTTTGAAACCTATCATATTGTACAACTACTATGTCTCTAAAACATTTCAGCATAAATAGAACATTCATCACTTAAGCAGAGTAAAGAGACTTTGGAAATCAGATTTTACTCAGTAAAATTCAGTATCACTATTAGTGAGTAGGCTTTAAAAATTAATACAGACAAAAACATTTTCAGAACTCTCCCCCCAGAATTCAAGTTTATGTTTTCAATCGAAATAGTTAATAAACATTGCTTCATAAAACATACTAACAATCTGAATTCATGTTCAGGATAATCGAAGATGTTCTGAAGGTCAATGTGCAGGTTGAGCAGTTTGGGTAGGCTGTAATTCTAGGTTACTTTTTTTTCATTTGCTCAACAAATGTGTCAGGTTCACACTGTGTAAAAAACATGTCACACCAGAAGCTATAACTTAGGACCTTGGAAACTAGAAGAATTTTAAAACTTTTTTAAGGGGCATGAATGAATAAAAGGGATCATAATGTAAGAAAAAATATTTTCCTTAGAGAAGTCAACATTCTGGGTTAAAATACAAATTTCAGAAATCATCACTGGGACCATCTACAGCTCCTACACTAAAGGCCTGAATGATGTTTTTAGAATATTAACTGATGCTTTTTCTCAGCAAATTTTATTCCACTGGCAATTGCCAGCTTCTCTATTATTTTTTTTTTTTTAGATCCAGTCTCAACAGATAACTGGAATTACAACTACTATTCATCAGAGACTCAGGCCACACAGCAATTTTATTTGTGCTGTTTTGAGTGTAAAGAGAAAAATGGCAAAGTAAATACTGTACCAGATTCAATACCTTTTAATTAACAGAGTGAAAACAAACAGATCTTCTTGCTCATCCATAAACCACCTTATTTATGCCTTACATATGGCTGTGTTGTGTCTGGCTACCTGTAGGGAAAGGCCTCCTGAATTTTAGGATTACCTCCTACGGCCCAAGCCAAATCCTGCTATGCCAGTCTCTTCACGATCCAAGTCCAGAGAGAACTAGCCGTCCACTCTCAACAAAACAAAATCCCCAAATGAAAACTAACACAAAACACCTACTACAATGCACTGTGATGTGGAAAACCTAGTTCACAGTGATAACTACGGAGATTAACTACTTTAATTATTAGTACCTTAACTTAATCCTAGAGTAGTCACAGTTTAGTCTAAAATAAAGTTAGGTGGCTTAAAGCTAACGATAGATGAAAAATAAGCCTAGACTACCAGCTGTTTGACATCATTTGTTACTGGAATGATAACTTTCTACACTTTTTCAAAAGCCAGTCATGTTCTCTCAAGTGTGCCAAAGACAGACATCCAGACTCCTCTTTATCTTCCTGAAGGCAATCCACACTTCAGCATTTCATGGGGCACCTACCATGTGTCTGACACTCAGGATGGGTACGTAGCACAAGAGACATGGCCCTGGGCCTTGGGAGAGTTTACACTCCAGAGGGCTTGGCACACACAGCAATGGCTGTGCATATTTGCCTAGAAGCAGGTATAGAGAACAGTGGGGAGAGACAGAGAAAAGGATTTCTGGTGGTGCCACCTGAGCCAGGTCTGGAGCAAATGGTTGGCCAGCTGCATAGAGGAGCATTTTAGCAGAGGCACTGCACTGTGTGTTTAGAAGGCAAAATCTCCATGCAGAGAGGAGCCAGCCACGCTGACTTCTCGGTCAGTTTCTCCAAGGGGAGACATATGGGTCACTTGTAGCTATTCTTCAGCAGTTCTGGGCTAGGCCAAAGAATCAGTCTCCATAACCCTACGACATTCTAATGAGGTGGCAAGTCTAGGAAATCTCATTGTCAGGGACAGGGAGCAGGGGAGGGAATGAGGAGTGTGAGTGGAGTCAGGCTATCTCCACTTAGCTCTGGCATCGTCTAGTTTTTGGCACTGGGTATATTTAATATTTAATAAGCCCCATCACAATCTACTTTCTGCAGCCTTTCCTTTCATATCCTTACCCTTCCCTCCTAACTCTCTCTCTCTCTCAAACAAAAAAAAGATCTCTTCTCTCTCAAACTACTGTAAGCCACATAAAAGAAGGGGCTAATAACAAACTTCTTATCTGTTCTTCAGAATATCTCCATCCCACGGATCTCCTGAAAATACATTTGAGAGTGACTTGGTAAGAGTATGGCTGCCTTCAGAGCATTTTACCCATCATTTTAGGAGAGCCACATCCTTTACATTAGTCTTCATTAGGCTCCCTGTTCCTCCCTGTTATTTAATGACTTGCCCATAAATCCACTTTGTATGAATAAATTGGTCTTGACACCACAATTTTTCCTATCACTTGGCTCAAGTAATTCTAAGTTTTCATCCTTTTAATTGGATAAGGCAGAAGGAGCGGTTCTGACAATGTCTGAAGCAAGAGATAAGAGTCTTGAACGGGAAAGTAAGCAAGCAGGAAGAAAGAAAAGTTCCCTTTGCAGGGTCACTTTGGCAAGATTTCTCTCTTCAAAATTACCGCATAATCATCCTCTTTGACTGTGGTCCCTCCCCCAACTCTCAGGTTTGCTTAAACAATGTATTTTCATAAATGGTTATGAAGTCAAAAGCAGTACCTTTTCTGTCAGAGGCTACTGAGATGTCTAGTAGAAACTACCCTGCAGAGATCTGCTGTTTTTAGTAACGCAGGGAACAAATTTTATTCATCCAAGGATGTGCCAGACCAATGCTGGCTTCACATTCAATGCACATGGAAACCGGGTGAGGCAGATCGCACGCAGAGCCAATCTGACCCCAACGCCCACGCCCTTTCAGACATCACACACTTGACTTTTAGAATTCATCAAGGTTCCTGTCAAACCTGGGGAACACACATGGAGACAAGAAGGGATTTGGCTGGAGAGAAATGGCACTGGAGGCAAACTAACTAGAACAAAACAGTGTAAATTAGCCTGCAAATAAATATAGGGAAGGGGAAAAAAAATACATCGGATAGGACTGTGAGTTGTGCTAGTGAGCAGAAGATAGGAAAATCTTTATTTCTTGGCACTTACCTAAAAATGTTTACCTATTCCCAGAGTGTCTGCCATAAAGAATTAATAAGAGGGAAAAGCAAAAAAGTGCAAGGAACATTACAATCTAAGGAACATTACAGCCCAAGCTCTGCAGTAAGCCATCAGGACTTGAAACACTAACAGGAAACAGCTCCCTGAGAGAGGGAGGGCTTTGCCATCCTGAAACATCAGCCCCTCCAGCCCCATTTCCTCCCCAAAGGCCAAAAGAATCCATTCACAACACAACTTTCCACTCCCAGTCACAGTCTTTTTAGACCAAATTGTCATTCTTCCATTTGTCAACCATCCTCCCACAGTGGATTCTAATTTATCCTCAATGCCCAAGTCTGTGGAAGACATTCAAGACTAATGCCAAGCAAAATGCCTGTCCCAACTCTAGCCTACAGATCCAGGCATGTATTTCACCAGCTACTAACTTATAATGCCTCTATTGTGACCACCAAATAGAAAAAGACGGGGAAAAGAAATGTTTCTGTGCTGCTTAAGAAAATGAAGCATGGAAGAAACACAGCCGCTGGTGCTGGGAAAACTGGGCAGCCACATGCAGAAAACTAAAAGTGGACCCCAGCCTATCACCATGCACCAACATCAACTCAAAATGGATTAAAGACCTTAACATTAAACCTGAATCTCTGAAACTACTGCAGGACAGAGTAGGAGAGACACTTGAACTAATAGGCACAGGAAGGAACTTCCTGAACAGAGTCCCAGGGTCACAACAAGTTGGAGAAAGACTCGACAAATGGGACTACCTTAAAATAAAAAGCTTCTGCACAGCTAAATCTATCGCAACTAAGCTAGAAAGACAACCAACTAATTGGGAAAAAATATTTACCAGCAATATATCAGACAAGGGGTTAACATCCTGTATATACAGGGAACTCAAGAAACTAATCCCTCCCAAACCTAACAAACCAATTACTAAATGGGCAAGGGAACTAAAGAGGGACTTCTCAAATGAAGAAATAAAAATGGCAAAGAAACACATGAGGAAATGTTCATCATCCCTGGTGGTAAAGGAAATGCAAATAAAGACAACCCTGAGATACCACCTTACCCCAGTCAGAATGTCCCACATCCACAAATCAGCCAACGACAAATGCTGGAGGGGATGTGGAGAAAGAGGAACCCTATTACACTGCTGGTGGGAATGTACACTTATACAACCACTTTGGAAAGCAGTCTGGAGGGTCCTTAGAAAGCTAAAGATTGACCTCCCTTACGACCCAGTCATACCACTTCTAGGCATCTACCCTGAACAACAGGAACCAATATACAAGGACACGTGCACCTCCATGTTTATTGCAGCACTGTTCGCAATAGTCAGGATATGGAAACAACCTAGATGCCCCACCACAGATGAATGGATCCAAAAATTGTGGTATCTATACACAATGGAATATTATGCAGCCATTAGAAATGACAAAATAATGGCATTTGCAGGGAAATGGATGGAGCTAGAAGGAATCATGTTGAGCGAGGTAAGCCAAGAACGAAGAGACAAACGGTACATGGTCTCCCTGATAAGTGGATGCTAAATCCAAAATGTTAGGTGATACGATAAAACTAACAGGACTTAAGAAACAAAGAACTCCCGCTCATCTGGTTGAACCACTACTAAATATCCCCATGCTGCTGATCACAAATATGGTATATAACATGTGAACACTGTTATATATTACAGACTGTGGTAGACAATTTGCTCCAGGGAAGTTAGAATGAACTTGTGACTTTGAAATTATGTAATCATTTAATCACAATCAAAAAAAAAAAAAAAAAAGAACCTCGGGGAAGGGAGGGAGGGAGGGGATGGTAGGGGGAAAACAATGGAGGGGGTAACAATGTTCAAGAGGAAGTGTACTCATAACCTCACTCATGTAACTGTAACCCTCTGTATAGTAGCTTTACAATAAAAAAAAAAAAAAAAAAAAAGAAAATGAAGCAGCTGCTGGGCACCAATGTACTCCTGTAATCACAGCAACATAGGAGGCTGAGATTAGGAGAGCTGTGGTTAGAGGCCAGCCCAGCATACATGCCAGACCCCAGTCTTAATCTAGTTGAGTATGGTGACATACCTGTCACCCTAATCTAAGACTAGGAAGGATTGAGGTTTCAAGCCAGCAAAGGCAGGAGAAAGGCTGAGAGACTCCATCTCCATGGAAAAGCTGGGTTTGGTAATACAACTATGACAAGCAGCCTAAAATAGGTGGCATAGGTGGCTTGTGGTCCAGACATGTGACCAGGAAAGCAGCAAGATCCTATTTCAAAAATAACCAGTGCAACAAGGCCTGAAGGTGTGGTTCAGCGATTGCGCACCTGCTCAGCAAACACAAGGACAAGTCCTAACCTCAGTATCTCTCTCTCTCACACACACACACACTCACACGCGCACACATACACCCCAAGTCTACAGAGATGCTTGTAGGTCTGATTCTCAGACCTACACAGGTCCCAGTTCATTCCCTTAAGTGGTTTGTACTAGGGGCAATTTTTGTGGCCTATTCTCAGGACACTTGGAAACGTGTGGAAGCATTTAAAATGTCATGACAGGAAGGTGTGCTACTAGCATCTAGTGGATAGAAGCCAGAGGTGCTGCTAAACATTGAAAACGTTCAGCTCAGTAAGCCCTTGAAAATAACAACTAAAAAAAGAAAAGAAGAAAAAAGAAAAACAAGCCATTATTTTCTGGTCTAAAATTTTTAAAGTACAGCAGATGAGAACCAACTGCTATGTTTAATTAGATAAAGAATTATAAATTACCATCAGCTCTACATGTCAGTGAGTTTCACACCATGAAACCAGAAAGGCCTGGAATTTTTTTCTTGTCCTTATTTCCTAAATAATACTCTATTACACCTATGTACAGTGGCTACGTTTTACTTGTAATTACTTTTAAGTAAGTGTGAGATGGCTTAGAGCACGTGGGAGGATGTGGGCTGGTTATATACAAATCTATACATCTATGTAAGAAAATCCATGGACTATGGTAGTGAGGTGGGTCCTAGAACCACTCCTTCTGATACTGAGGGACAACTGTGTAACGTACTAGTAATATTTTATCCCAGCACAAAGAGAATCTGGAAGCAACTGTCAAAATCTCAGAGGGGTTGCCATTCTAAATAATGCATTTCTAGGCCTGAACATGAGAAAGTTACTTTTCTATTTTTCAGGGTTTCAGGCTCATCAAACGAGTAAACACTTTTAGTATGATTATAAAAGGAGAGAAGACGCTAAGAATTATAAAAATCTTATAAAACTCTAGCATCTAGTAGACCACAGGTTAGTGAGAAAACACCTAATGGATGGGTGGGTACTCACTTGGAAAGCAGGAAACCTGAGTTCTAATCCCAGCTCTGCTACTTATTTAGCTGTGTGACTTGAGTAAGTCATCAATTCATCTCTCATGGCCCCAGGTTCATCTGCAAAATAAGGGAGTTATGCTGGGTGACCACTGAAATCTTTCTGGCTCTAATAGTCAGCTAGCCTCTGCAGTAACCCCAATATCACTCACTCACACTCACACTCACACACACACCTGAAGATCCTGTACAAAATTCAACCAGGCAGAATTGCCAGACACCACCATCAACAAGAATAATAACGCGAGGATTTGAGGCACATAGCTTCAATCCCAGTGTTCAGGAGGCAGAACAATGAACTTGAGGTCAGCCTGGGCTACTTAGCAACACCCTGTCCCAACAAAACACAATGACGATGATAAAAATAACTAAAAACCTAGCAACAGATATGAAGACCTTAAAGCAACTTACTAGCTCAACTAATTATTTTACTTCTGAGAACAAGGGCAACCTCAAACACAGGGGAAAGATGTTCACTATATTATCATCTGGGATGCTGAAATGAAGAAAAATTTTTTTAAAAGACACAAATGTCTCACAGTCAAGGAAAATAGCTAGTAGAGTAACTTATGGGACCAGTTAAAGGAAAAAAGTCAGGCGCCAGGTGGCTCACGCCTGTAATCCTAGCTGCTCAGGAGGCTGAGATCTGGGGATTGTGGTTCAAAGCCAGCCTAGGGAAGAAAAGTCCTTGAGACTCTTACCTCCAATTAACCACCAGAAAACAGAAAGTGGCACTGTGGTTCAAGCGGTAGAGCACTAGCCTTGAGCTGAAGGGCTGAGGGACAGCGCCCAGGCCCAGACTTCCAAGCCCCATGGTTTTTAGGAACCATTTTTAAATGGAAGTCAAAAACTATATTTATCTAGTCATAAAAATGACTCTGCTAAGTTAGAAAGTGGCACATATAAGAGAAAAAGATTGGAGTCAGAAAGGTTCCATCAAGTATCATTTTCCTCACTTAAGTCTCCTGCATTCCCACTTTTTCTACCATAACCATATATTCGTTCCTAAAGCACGTGTGTCACTAAATCATGTATCATCAGAACCCTATGTGAGTGGTGTGTGTTTCACTACCAAATCTTGCATTATCCAGATCCCAGGCTTCGGGGTGTGTAGTGTGGAAGTGTGCTGTTTGTTTCACTACTAAATCTTGCAAAATTAGGATCCTGGGCATCAAGGTAGGGTGTGTGTGTCTGGCATCTCACCATCAAACCTGCCTCGGGATCCTGGGCACTGTGGTGTGTCTAGTGTGTTGGTGTGTGTGTGTCTCACTATTCAATCTGGCAGCATGCGGATCCGACACCCCGAACTGCAGATTCCCGCTCTGCGCGTGCGCACACGGCTTCTCCCAGGCGTCCGTATTTTCATCGTTTTGCACTTGTCACGCTGCCCACGCGGCGGGCCCGGCCGCGGGGATCCGGGCCTGACCCCTCGGTGGGTGGCGAGCCCGGCTCCGCACTCCGGGGCCCGCAGCCCGGCCCGGCGAGGCGGGGCCCCGGTTCGAGTCCGCTTTCCCGCCAAACCCCGGGTCAGCGTCGGGGTCGGGCGCACGCCGCCCCCTCCCCCCGGGAGCCGCCCCGGAAGTCACCTCCGAGGCCCCCGCGCGGCCGCGGCGCCTCCCACCGGCGACCCCGGCCGCGGGGCCCGGCCCGGCCCGGCCGCCGGGAACGCCGGGGCCTGGAGCGCGGCGCGCGCGCGGCCTCGCCCGACCGCCCCGCCCCGTCCGCGCGGCCGCCGGCCTCGCCTCACCTCCCCGCCCGGATCCGAACCCGCACCGCCGGCGCCTCCGCGTCCCACGCTCCGAAAGCCGAGACCGCGCAGACTGCGGCCAGTTCCCGCGTCCGCCAATCAGCGGCTTCCTCCGCTACGGCGGCCCGCGGGGGCCAAAAAGGCCCGGCCGCGCCGCAGCGCGCTCCCCAGCACCCTGGTAAGTGAGGGGGAGCGTCTGTCCGTGCACGGGGCGGAAAGCGGACCAGGCGGGCTTGCATTCGCCCGAAAGCAGAACGCCGGAGCAGAACAGCCTGGAAGCGGCCTTTTGGGTCAGATTTTCTTTACGGAAACGTAAGGAGTAACTTGAGTTTACCAATGCCCTTGAATAATTATAAGTAGATAAATGGCTGCAAGTGATTAGGTCCACCTTTGGATCTGAGTTAAATGCGTGAAATGCAAGACCCTATTAGCAAGAGATTGTTTCCCCTTCAGTGTTGATAGAGGGGAAAAAATCACTACAGTGACTTCAACTTAAAATGACATAGATGGTGATGCATTGCAAACTAAGCTAGTTGTCATTGGACGTGAATAGCGGGACTCCCTCAAACGCTGCTGTGGGAAGGAGGTTAGAGTCTTGCATGCATTCCCAGTATTCCTTGCCACTAATGGAAAAAGGAGAGAAAAAAGAAAAATTTTATACCAGGATGATTCTCTTTTTTTCTCTACACACATACCCTCATCAGTTTAGTTTATATTTCAGTTCTATTTATGACATTTCACACTTTGTTAAGTGTGAATAGGACCTATTCACAGGACCTGTTTCCCTATTCACAGGGATTCCTCTGGGTGGTGAGAAGTTTTCCCTCTTCTATGTGCCCTTTTGCTAAAGGCCCAAGAAATGGACCTTTGATGGAAGAGAACAGCAGGCTTGATTGATAAAAAAAAAACAACTTCCTTCTCTCCTACGAAACTTCGTTTGGGTAAAGATGAAATGTTACAGATTTGTTGAGAAGGTTGTATTTGAAGTCCTTGCAATAGAAAATATAAATGTAGGAACTTAAACATACCACACAAGTCAAATGACAAGCTTCAAACAACAAACAATATATAGCCTTGTCACCAAAACATTTCTTTGGGAAAGACATGAAGTTCTACTATCGTCTTCACTCGTTTTCAGAAAAATGTATTCAGAAAAATGGGTGCTTTCACTTACAGTTTCTTAAGCTTTGCCACAGAGCCATGCTTAAGCCATGGTGGAGTCCTGACCTCGTGCCTGTGCCAAGAAATGGAGAGTAGTTCTCAAGGCCTGGTTCATCATCAGAACCCTTGCCACATTTTCCAAGGGAGAGCCCAACTCACAAGTGACTTGAGCCATTAAGCCCCCCCCCCCCCCACGACTGTCCCAGAAACCATTCAGCAGCTTAGAATTGGCCATTAAGAGCTCAAATCATATTGCAATGTTTTCCTTGTATATTTTCCAGAACCTTATTCTACCAAAAAAAAAGTGTACAACCTTTTTTGAATGCTAGTTTAAAACTAGTCTTCAAAACCCTGAACATAACCATCATTCAATTGAGGAGCTGTAAAATTATACAAGTAATTTGGCAAAGTTTAGTTGACTTAATTTAGCTTGGTTGTTCCAACTTAATGAGCCTATTCTGGCACATTACCATGAAAAGTCCATGGTTTACGTTAGAGTTTGCTCTTGAGGTTGCGGTTGCACAGATGTGGATTTTGATAAACGCATAGTAACACCCATCCACGATGATAGTATCAGACAGATGATTGAATGCCCCTAAAAACCCTGTGCTCCATCTGTTTGTCTTCTTCCCCATACCCATGCCTCATCAAACACTCTCTAACACTGCTCTGTTTTTTGTCTCCATGGGTTTACCTTTTCCAGAATGTCATAAAGTCACAGTCATTCTCATGTAGCCTTCTCAGATTGCCTTCTTTCATTTAGAATATACATTTCTCCAGGTCTTTTTAAGTGCTGAATAATATTCTATATGGATGTACCATTGCTTATTTGTTCATTCACTAACTAAAAGGTGTCTCTGTTGCTTCTAAGTTCAGGCCATTAAGAACAAGTTGAAATATATGTAGTGTTTTGCGATGAATTAAGTTCTCAACTCATTTGAGCAGATATTAAGGATTTTACGTGGCAGGAGTATATTTAGCTTTGTAAGAAACCCTGAGCTTTATTCCAGGTAGCTTCTCCATTTTGCATGCCCACTGGTGATGAATAAAGCTCTACTCACTCCATGTCCTCACTAACAGTTGATGTGTCCAGTGGTCTGGGTTACGGTCATGTTTGGAGTCTCATTTTGTAAGGTACAAATCCCTAGTGTCGGATGATGTGGGCCATTTCTTCAGATGTTTATTTCCTTCTGTTTGTCTTTGTTGGGAATGTGTCTATTCAGTTCTCTGGCCCATTTTGCAAAGTTCTCTTTGTATGTTGTATAACATATTTTTTTTCTTTTTTTTTTTGGTCATTCAGGGGCCTGAACTCTGGGCCTGGCCACTGTCCCTCAGCTCAAGGCTAGCGCTCTACCACTTGAGCCACAGCACCACTTCCAGTTTTTTCTGTTTATGTGGTGCTGAGGAATGGAGCCCAGGGCCTCCTGCATGCAAGGCAAGCACTCTACCACTGAACCACCTTCCCAGCCAGCCCTAGATAACAATCTTTTATCAGATTTGTCTTTTTGCAAATTTTTTCCTTTTTTTATCTTTAATTTTTTTTATTATAAAGGTCATCAGAGGGGTTGCATACGTCAGATAAAGAGAACATTTCTTTTTGGACAGTGTCACCCCTTTGCTTGCTGTCTCCCAGTTTTTCCCTCCCATCCCCACCTCCAAGTTTTATAATTCATTTTCAACACAGTGTCTGGTGGTTACCACTGCTGCATTTGTTTACGCTTCATCCCTCCATTTCTATGCCTCCCCTTACACTCACAAAAACATATTAACTAAGCTTTGTGCCAGTGTCTCATGCCTGTAATCCTACTCAGGAAGCTGAGATCTGAGGATCAAGGTTCAAAGCTAGGCTGGGCAGGAAAGTCCATGAGATTCTTAACTCCAATTAACCACCAGAAAACTAGAAGTGTTGTTGTGACTCCAGTGGTAGAATGCTAGCCTTGAGCTGAAGAGCTGGGGGACAGCGCCCAGGCCCCGCATTCAAGCCCTACAAATGACAAACAAACAACACAAAACATATAAACTAACAAAAAGAACATGACGAAAAGAAAACAAAAGCAGCAAGTATTTCAAATGTTTATTTTCTTACCTTCTCATTCTCTTAAAGATGTTGTTATCAGACAAATTCTGGTGTAAAATTGCTGAGGCAATGGAGGCAAAACTCCATTTCCTTGTTTGTTCTGTACTTCTACAGTTGTTTTGTACCTATGACTTCAATTAGTTGTCTCCATCAATATTGCATGTTCATAAGAGGTGATATCATTTCTGGCCTGGTTTTGGTAGTATGACAGTGTGAACTCAGGGCCTCGTGCCTGCCCCAAAGGCACTCTACCATCATGTCACATCTTAACCCGTTATTTCTTGAGTCAAGACTCACGTTTATGTGTAGGCCAGCCTTGATCATGATCCTTCTCTTTATGCCTCCCATATAGCTGGGCTGCTAGATGCACACCACCACACGCAGCTTTTTATTGGTGAAGATGGGGTCTTGGGAACTTTTGGCCCGCTGGATCTTAGCCTCTCAAGTAACTAGGATTAAGGCATGACCCCCATGTTGACTTGTATGTGGTTTACCTTATAAACCACTGGAGAAGTCTGTGAACATCTGAATGATTAGATGATGGGATGATAAGTACAACCATTGAATAGATTGCCCAACACTCTCTAATGCAGGTTTAAATATCTAACCTTAGTGTTAGCTTCTAAGGAACTTTCTGGTTTTGTTTGAGTACTTTAGTTACTGGTCTGAAGTGATAGCCAGATGTTTCCTAAACATCCAGTTTGGAAAATAAACACACTTAAATCATACAGCTCTAGTTTGAGATAGTAGGATCTACAATTCATCAAGGCTTGCAAAATTTATTTGTTAACAAGGTTGAATAACCTGTCTAGCAAGCATGAAGCCCTGAGTTCAAATCTCCTACTTCCCCCTTACCCCCAAGTATCTGTTAGTGAAAAGGAGATGAAAGACATTTGTAGCAGTTGAATAGCCTCTGAGAAGTAATATAAGCTTATCGATAGGCAACTCTCTCTGGAAAGACGGAATGTCTTTTGTTTTTACTTCTTGCAAAAAGAGGCTTATATTCTGCATCATGGGTACTTAACTTTTAGGTATAATTTTTGGGATGTTTATGTAAGTGTCCAGACTTAACTGGTCATCATTTTGGGATGACTTTGAATTTCAAAGGAGATGGGCTCAGGGTCTGACTCCCCTCCCCCGCCCACCATAAGGAAATCTCCAAATTCTGTGATGCTTCACGCTGTACAGTGAACTTCACCAACCAGCCTCTCGCCACTGCAAGGTGCGGTGAAATCAGGTGAAACTGCCCTTGTATTTTAATCAAGATGAACTTGAAAGGTGAACATTCTAAGTGGGAGAAATTATTTATAATTTGGTAATAAAAGTTTATGTCTAATACTCCAAATTTCATACATCTGCTGTGCGCTGGCCCTGAGATATAAAACAATTGAAGTTGCCTTTACATTTGGCCTTATATGAAAGGTCATAAATTAGAATGATAGTGTTCGTCCTCTTTCCTAGCTCAGAAAATTTCCATATTAACATCTTCACCTCGAACATAAATGGTTACCCAGCTACAAAGAAAAGAGTTGTATTGGCCTTCGTGAATTATAGTTTATGATGGAAATCTCTGGTACATAGCATGCTATTTGGTTTGCCACGGAGCTTACCTATTTCAATGAAGATAATTCTACCACTAATTAAAACTGTATGGCCAATTTAAATTAAAAGTACAGTATATAAAAATTTAGGAATATTTTAGCTATCAAATGGTTGCCAAGGTATGGGATTCTTTTAACTCTTCAAATGCATTTTTATATCCCCAAGGGTTTTGCTTTGCTTGAATACCTCTACCAAGTTTATTTAAAAATAAATTTGCTTTCAGTTTTCAAAATGTTTCCTTCTAATGTGGTTTGAA